AATTAATAAATCAAATACTTAAAAGCTCCAACGACCTAACTAAGGCAGGCAAACAAATAACCTTCTTGTGGATACCCGTCCACGTAGGAATATACGGTAATGAAAATGCCGATAAAGCAGCTAAACTATCCCTCAAAATCCCAGAAATAAGCTTAAACTTACCCATCTCAAAATCAGAAATAAAAAGTGTAAACAAGCAAAAAATCACAAAAATGGCATAACCTATATCTAAACTCAAATAGCCAAATCAAAAAAGTGCTCAGCAAACCACTAACCAAACCAAAAATTCTCCATCCATCCAAAAAAATCGACAGAGTAATCACTAAACTCCAGACAGGACACACCAACCTAAATAACCACCTAAAGAAATTTTAAAAAACACTACAGGTAACTGCCCACACTGCAAACAACTAAAAACCCAAGAACAGCACTCATCCACTGCACACACTACCTAACACATCAAACCGCATTACAAACCACCCTCAATCTAAACAAGGCTCTCACTCTAGAAGCAATACTAAACCCACAAAATAAACTAGAAAACTTCAAGGCCTTAGGCGTATTCATAATCAAAACGGAACTAATAAAACGCATCTAAAAACACAATAACCTACCAAATCAAAATCACATAAACAAACAAATATCCACCATACCCAGCTCCCTTAGTTCTCCTCCCCAACCCCATCGGCATCTATTCCAAATCTCAAAATTCCCAAATTCTATATAAGCAACCCCTAAAGCCCCCTCTTGGGTTGCACACACCACTTTCGCCCCTTTCGGAAACACATTAAATGGCCTGGCCGGGCCCGTGTGCGAAATACGCATCTGTCGGAAAGCGCACGATAAATCTCCAAAGTAAGTAAGTAAGTAAATACGGATTTCTGTAAAATGAGAGTAGAAGAATAATGTTTTAAAGTAATTGATGATAAACTTTGAGAAGGAAATTAACCAGTATAAAATATAGTTATCGAAGATTGGCATGTTAGAGATCCGGACATGGCAAACCCGAAGAAGGTCCAGTATCATATGTCACAAAAAGGTGGTCAGCAAGTCCTACTAGATGGCTACAGGTACAGACTCAACAACCGTAGGCTAACATGTGTGCACTGGAAATGTGTACAACGTGGGTGTTTAGGGAAATGCACAACAGTTGGCCAGTTTGTGAGGAATCAGTCACCTCATAATAAGCAACCAGACGACCTTGTAGCATTGCAGGCTGTAAGCACACTTCGACAGAGAGTTCAAGCAGAGACAACGCCCATCCAGATGATTTACGACGAGGAAGTTGCCCGACTCGACGTTCAGGATTCTGCTGTCTTTCCGGCTTACCACAGCAAGAAGAGTGGCCTCTACAAACAGAGAAGAAAGACGATTCCCCCACTTCCACAGTCCCTTACTAAGAAAGTGTTATCCCAAATATAACATTAGTTACACCTGAGTGAAGTAGATTGTCCTGATATCTACAAGCAGACAACCGATGGAATGCCCTTTCTCTGTATAGATGACGGAGATGAAGACAAGATTCTGTGTTTTGCCACCAGTGACCGCCTTCACCTACTCCAAGAGATAGACACTCTGTACATGGATGGGACATTCTACAGCTGGCCTCCTCTTTGGGATCAGTTGTATGTCATTCATGGACTCGTAGGTACCAATATGACACAGATAGTGTTCCGCCTTCTGCCAAATCGCCAGCGCCAGACTTACGAGCGTTTGTTCCGTCTTCTCAAGGATGCTGTCCACCAGTCAACAGGTTCCCCACTACAGCCCCAAATAATGCAGACGGACTTTGGGGGTTGCAGCTGGGCAATAGAGACATTGTTTCCAGACTGAGATGTTAGAGTGTGCTTCTTTCATTACTCCCAGGCCCTTTGGAGGAAGGTGCAGAGACTAGATTTCAGTGCCCTCTATCAACAGAATCCTGAAGTCAACGCCTGGGTCTGCCATGCAGCTGCACTTCCTCTTCTTCCTGTCAACCTGGTGCAGGATACATTTATAGATGTCATGGACAGTGCTCCAGAGATCCCACAAGCATATATGGATAATGTAAGATGCGTGATAAAAATGGGAGTGTGAATGTGATGTTTGAATCATAATGTACATGAAATATGATAAATGAAACTATGGATGATGGATGATGTATGATGTATCAGAAGAAATGTAGGAATTAAGAAAAAAACAATAAATATCATTTGCTAGTGTTCGTCATTTGTCACTGTAGGCAATAGTACACTAAAATGGGCCAGTTCAACTCTGCAGAGAGGTAGCAGAGTATCACATGTAAAACCACTGAAGCATATAAATGTTTGTTTCAGACTGTAGGCATTTGTCACTGTAGGCATTAGTGGACTCCTCCGCCAGGGGTATGTAATAGCTTTGGTAACGGATAATTGACGGCTGGATTCTTTGATGTTGATAGCTTCTTGTAGTTTCCTGATCTTGATGTCTTTGAGGTTGTAGGCGAGGGTTGTGAATGCTCACTGAATGCTGTGGCTTGGGTTGTCACGGATGTGGTCTAAAAGAGCTGATTTAGAGTCATCTTTGGAGACTGAGCTTTGATGTTCTTTTATTCGGGGGGCGGTCGGGTAGCCTAGTGGTTAAAGCGTTCGCTCGTCACGCCGAAGACCCGGGTTCGATTCCCGATATGGGTACAATGTGTGAAGCCCATTTCTGGTGTCCCCCGCCGTGATATTGCTGGAATATTGCTATAACCATACTCACTCACTCTTTTATTCGGGTTTTGAGGGGCCTCGATGTTTCTGCTATGTAAGCTTGTCCACAATTGCATGGAACGTGGTACACTGCTCCTGATGGTTCTAGCTTGGTTGTTGGATGGTGGTTTCCCTGTGGCTTATATTGTGTTCTGAATGGTATGACTTCTCTTGAAAACTGCATCAATGTTGGCCTGTTTCTTTAAGAGTCTCTGGATTTTGTGGCTAACTGTTGGGAAGAAAGGAAGGCTGATCACAAAGGGTGCAGACGTTTGACGTGGGGATTTCTGAGATTTCTTGGTGATTGTCTTTATCGTCTGTTGTACTAGTTGCTCATGATAGGTTATACTGTGTAAATACTTGTTTGAGGTGGCTTAGTTCAGTAGTTAGAAATCCTCCCATCCCTAGACACCCGCCTAACAACTGACAGCATCATCCGACTCATACACTCCTGTACTAGCTCAACATACTCTACCTGGAGAGATAACTTCTATCAACAAACCCACGGCCTCCCAATGGGATCCCCACTATCACCCTTGATCACCGAGATAGTAATGACCCACCTTGAAGAAAAAGCCCTGGAAACATCCCCAATAACTCCCCTCTGCTGCTTCCGCAAAGTTGATGACACCTTTGTCATCCTACATCCCAACAATGACCCCAGAACTCTATTGGACCACCCGAATTCCCAAAACCCACGAATGCAGTTCACCATGCCATGGAGGAAGAAACCAATCGACAGCTCCCCTTGTTTCAACCCTTGCAAGACGAGCTCGCAACATCTGTTCCACGAAGCAACATCTAACTACTGAACTAAGCCACTTCAAACAAGTAACATAATTTGTGAAAAGAAATATCGTACATATACAGTGACATTTGTGCATGAATGTGAATGTGAAGGCTTGTGAATATTTGACAAGTACAAAATAACAAAACACTCAAGATGTTTCTAATTTATAGTGAAGAATTTAATGTGGGTTATTTATTTGGAACGGAACATGAATATATAGAAAAGATCATATTCAGTATGGTCCCCCAAAATAACATAAACTAAATCATATTCCGCATATATATCGCCATACGATAATCGAAAGCATTACCGCAGTAAATGTGATTTTACGAAATTGTGGACTGTTTATCCAAGTTCTGGTCGTATCCCACTTCTGGTCGCTACACACGCCTTCAGGTCTCTTCCTGTGGTATGGTAATTAGTTCAGCTTAACGTGGGTCCTCCTTTGATCAAAAGTTTGTCCCCCCTGTAATGAGTGAACACGAGTGACGAACGGGGTGCACACTCGTGTTTAACGCCTTGCACACGGGTATCACACGCCTGGCGGACGGGTTCCACACGAGTGACCAACGGGGTGCATACGGGTTGCATAACGCGTTGCCCATGCGTGTAAGGGGAATGAACTTCTAGGCAGTAGTGTATCTGTTTCTTTGGAATGATCGGGTGATTCTTGTTTAACGCCACATCAACAACCGTCTAGCTGTTCGCGGCGATTGTTCCCTCGGAATATGGCTCACATTTATCCCAGTAAAGTGAACATGGACGTCCTGTTATCTCAGAGATTGTTCTCCTTATTTATGAAGTGGCACACACCTAATCCTTTGCATTTCCCTAAGCATGGTTAAATTTGCATAATCTTTGCAACTAAACTGATCAACATGTATTTATGATATTTGATAAGAGTTCCATTTCATGAAATCATCAAGGCTACAAATAATCCATGGTGTAGGAGAGGGGATGGGAGAGAGAAGTATCTGTACAAGATGTTAATGTATTCACACGTATTCGAGAGCTCCTTATAACTGCGTATAACTCCATTTGTAAATCACTATCTTTTCTTCCTGACTGAATGCAGGCATCGTGTATGCAAGACATCTACTCCAGTGAATATTGCACAAATATCATTATCTCATTTGTACACTGTTTGGTTATCAGCGTGTAGTTATGTACATTAAAATATATTGTTCATGAGATACCTTTTGATGAAAACCAACTGTTATACGGCAATGCAGATCACGTTGTTTCAGACAAAGGAGCCATATTTAACGCAGTTCAACACTTTATATGTACTACTAAAGCATTTGTGTAAAGAAGTGTTCATCCAAAGCAGTCCTCCTCTTCTGCAATCTCTATCTCTCTCTGCCCCCCCCCCCCCCCCCCCCCAGATATTATGGACATGCTCGTGCTTGAAATGTTTAACCAGGAAGTATTGAGATTCAATCCCCTCATGTGTAATAAAATGACCACCAAAATTGAATAACAGGATCTTGATTCTTCGTCGTCGTCAGGAGAGGTTTGACTTTTGACTAGATAGGAAGGACAGTAAGGATCTCGAACTTGTATGAGAGTTAAATTATAAATATGAAAGAGCAAGTAAAGGATGGACAACTTTTAAACATATTATGTCTGTTTGTTATGGTCGGACTCAGGGTTGAAGCTGTCGACTTCAAAGATCAGGGGTACCATCTTTTCGTGGCAATCAACAAAGATGTTCCTGAAAACATTGGAATAATTTCAGAACTGCAGGTAAGTAATTAAGTATTCCTGACATATATTATACAAGTATATATAACTCAATGGATAATTAGTTTTCATATTCATAAAGTCGATGTAATAAAAGGAGCTGGGATTTTATCGAAAATATAAATTGCCCCCTACATATTATCATGCTTCAAACTGTTGAAAAAAAAACTTTGCTAACACAAAAACATGACATTGTTGCAAGGTGGTTTTGTTTTGTTTTAAAATATTCAGGCTCTTAGTTTTAAGTAAAATAAATCTGGTATTGATAGTAGCTGGAAAAATATCTAATCTCAATACAGAACTTGAGAACTTTACATAAATTGAATTGAGAAGAGTAGCGTACAAGTGTTTACTCTTTCGAGTGTAGAGCTGGCATGCAAAGGATTGACTGGGTAGACTGGGTTACTCAAGGTTATCTGAAATTCAGTTTTCTTGCATATGACATGATAAGTGAAAACAGAATTTGATATTTTTTTTGAAATTTAAAATAGACGCTGGCTGTACCTGTATAAGAGCTACATGACTTGCAACTTAACTACTTGGTCAATGAGGACAGGATACTTATCTGAAAGCGCCTACTTAGTGCCTGGTTACACTTTTTCTTGGATTCAAGAACGCAGCGACTGTGACAAATTTTATGATTGTAAACCCAATCCTGTTTTTTTCAATATAATTTATTGATTGTTCATACAGATCGTTTGTGGTTATTTACTGATTTCACAATTTCGCGTTTCAAGATGAGATCTCCAGAACACCATTCGAATATCAATACATTGTCATGTGGTGCCTTCCCTTCTGCTCCTTCATTTCCCACATGGGCTGTTGGAAAATATATTGAAAAACAGACACCACAGAAGCACACCACACATGCACAGGCACAGGCACAGGCACAGGCACAGGCACAGGCACATATGCTAGCACCCACGTTATAGTTTAGTAATATGCTTGATTTGAGATATTCGTTGAAATCAAGCTCAGCTCTTGTCAGATATTATGCATACATGTTGATACGTTAACAATGAACATATTTAACAAATTTTACCATGTACATATGGGTGTAGATGTGCAACTGAACAATTCACCGAGATAAAGAATTTGCACGATAAAGAGACACACACGGACACTTTTTGCATACTTCTAGCACGATTCAGCATTAAGTTGTAATTTGTTGAAAATTAAAACTTAAATCCACTAATAACTCAAGATGTCACACAGAGAGGTTACGTGTGTGGGGGATTAGATCATTGGGGGAAATCTTGTACAAACCCTACATGTAAATGTATCTATATTACTCCTGCAGAGTATTTCCTGAAATGTGTCTAAAAAGAATAGAGTATCTGATTTATGAAACATTAACTTCAATATTTGTAATAATATAGATTATATATTTGAAGTGTCATATACACGTTTAGCTAAAATGTAATGTGCAATAACAGGAACTATGAAAATTACTTCTTTTGTGGTGCTACTTTTTATTTACACATCCATGTGCGCTGACGCGTTGCATTCGCCTTTTCGGTGGTAGCCACAAATTAATCAATTTATACCCCTGTAATTTACGTTTATTCGCCTCCAAACAATGGGTATGGTCATACAGAATGCAAATAACTAATTGCTGACGCATAGACCTAGAGTGATATGTATGAGATGGGTCTGAAGCCACTGAGACCACTTTGAAAGTTTTTTTTAGTTATTATTGATCATAGCGTCTTGTGGAAGAAATCGACAAGCACGGGTGTGATGCTGAAAAACCAAGAGCATAACAGTGGCGAGATCAGCAAATCAGCATAGTAGGCACCGGTAATTGTCTTTTGACTTTCTAAGTAATCAACAAGGATCGCACCCTTTGCATCCCCGAATACAGTGGCCATAACTTAATTTACTGATCTTGACGACTTGGATTTCTTTGGAGCTGGAGAAGCGTAATGGTGCCATTCAAAGGATTGACGTTTTGATTCGGGATCATAGTGGTAGACCCTTATTTCATCACCCGTTACTTATCTCTTTTTGAATTTGACGAAACCTTACTCAAGTAGCTCTAAATTTTCTATGGCAATATCAGTTATTTTCTCATTAAGATCAGAATTTAGAAACTTTGGCACCCAACGAGCAGATATCTTATTCATCTTCATTTGTTCATGAATAATAGCGTCAAGGGATCCATGGCTTAGACCTGTATCCACCTCAAGTTTAGCAATGGCAATACGTCTATCTGACAGTATACGTTTGCCGCATAACGTTGTGTTGATCCAGTTTCAAGCTTGCCTATGGATCTGCCTCCTTGTTTGAACGTCAAACGACGTCTTTGACGGTGAGGGGGCATAGGTGCATTCAGTTGTTACAATTCTCAGTAGCAAATGTTGTTGTGCTCTCTGTTGTTGTGCTTTATCCAAACACACTGACTGTCAGGTTTCCCAGCATCTCGTGCACCTCGTGCCCAAGACTGCATGTCTCTGTCCTTTCATCATGGCATTAACGTCTTTTGGGGGTTACCCAATTATTGTGTATCTGGATATTTCAATCTGTATTTGTTGGGCGACTTTTATACCATGAAAACTTGATCCTTAGGAAACTCTGAATAGTGTCTATATATTGAGGAGTATATTACGATCGGTGGTCAGAAGAAAGATCAGCTTTAAAAAATGACTACCAGAGATTTCAGAACAAAAACCTAACGCACCCGAAGATTGCACGTGTACGATGCAATTCCTCCATGAACGTGGGTGGGGTTGATTTTTAATATCTGACACCTAAGGGGGCGGTCGGGTAGCCTAGTGGTTAAAGCGTTCGCTCGTCACGCCGAAGACCCGGGATCGATTCCCGATATGGGTACAATGTGTGAAGCCCATTTCTGGTGTCCCCCGCCGTGATATTGCTGGAATATTGCTAAAAGCGGCGTAAAACCATACTCACTCACTCACTCACTCTGAAACCTAAGTGAAAGGCTGTCAAATCGCTCTGAGCAATTAGTTGATTCTTATTATCCAGGGTAACGCTACGCTCTCTACTCTTGTTTTAATGCAGTATTTGTGATCAGATTGGAAATGAAAGCATGAGAGAATTGACATTGACTCAAAGAGAGATAGCAAATATGGTCCATGTGTCTCGGTCTAATATTTGCAGACTTTCGAACAGATTTCTGCAGAAACAAAATGTTAATCAGGCCTCCCTGGGTCAACAACACAAGTCCAGGACCGAGAAATCTGAAACCAGATTGCCAATCAAATCGTCTCTTGCGCCAGGTCACCGGAGTTCAAGTTACTGGCCAGACGAGTAGCAATCGTCTGCATGCAGCTAATGTGCATGCTCTGCCACCACGTGTTTCACCACCTTAAACAAATCGACACAATATAGCAGCCAAACGCCAACTTAGTTTAGAGGGGGAATCGCCGATGGTCACGGGTAATGTTTTCCGATGAGTCCAGATTCGTGCTGGACTTTCTGTATAGACGTGGACGTGTCAGGAGGCAGATTTTAGGGTGGCTCTGTAACGATGTGGGGCGGGATCACCTTGACTGACAGAACGCCATAGTATATTGTCCGTGAAAGGATAACAACATACTGGTGCCAATAGTTCTGGCATTTGCGCGAAATGTTGATCCATGCTTTACCTGCCATGACGAAACCTCATCCTTCCTTTTTCTTATCCATCCATTACCATCACTCGATACGTATTTTTATATCTGTAATCAATTGTTATTTTCGAATATCCCCTACTGTTTTGGAGAGTATATAATGTATAAATTGTTCACTGGAAAAGATTATGCACATCAAGGGACAAGTATTTCTTGTGTGATAATGAGTAGCACATTTTGCAAACAAAATACTACTACTAATAATAATTTTATGTATGATTAAGGACATGCACACGTACCTACGTACCTACGTACCTACCTACCTACCTACCTACCTACATACCTACCTACCTACATACATACATACATATTTCCGCTAATTCTTATAACCGGGTCAATCGGTACAATACCATGTAACCAATATATCACTTCAAAACCATTCTTTCTATGTGTCCGTTCAATATGTGAAACTTTTTTCTTTTTTTCTTTTTCTTTTTTTTTTTGGGGGGGGGGGGGTTGGGGGTTGGATTCACTCTTGTTTCAACCATAGTTTATATTGTCCCAGACAGACAATATTAATTTTACCTACATTTGTAATGGTATTTTGCAGAGTATGCTGACCTCTGCCTCTGACTACCTGTATACAGCAACCCGGAAATACACCTACATAAGACGTGTGACCATCTTAGTGCCTGCCACGTGGACCAGAGATCCAGCTTGGGAGCTGGAAGGGGAGATGATCTTCACTCGAGCTGATATCAGAGTAGACGAGCCTCACCCTGCAATGGTGAGATACCGTTTGCAGTAATCGCTTTGTTATTGTATATCAATATTTGAAGCTATACCTAAATTAAGTATTTTCGTCGGCGGACGTATTCATTTATTGTACTATGACATTATGCATTCTGAATTGGTCCGCCAGCCAAAAGTCTTAACGGGTCTCTATGGCTCTATTTCCAAGGTGTGGCACTTCCGGTTCCGGTGCATGCCGGGACACATCGGAGCCGGAAGTGTCGCCATCTTGTAAAAACGACGTCATCTTTAGGGGATGTTCCGGGAAGTGACGAGATCTCGCGGTACTTGACGATATCTCGCGTAATTGGAGTTCGCTTAAGGGACAGAGAACAACAGTATAACACCTTCCAGCAGCTGAACTTGTCTTTGCAAGACAAAGCAGCACGACAAGCTCCTACCAAACAACGACCCCTGAGGCCGAGACCACTATGACTGGGCCTCCCTGACAAGGCCCCCATAACTTAGCCCCCTATGACTGGGACCCCAATGGCCGTTATATTACCAACGCTTACACGCCATTCTGAATGAAGTGGTGCAACACTACAATCCAAAGCCACACAACTGATGAAACGCATTCAGGCACATCCAGACTTGGGTTGAAATAGAAAAGGACAATTCATGGTGGAAGGAGAACCAATGCCTAGGACCCACATTGTGGATCTCATCAATGATTTGGTTAAACAACGTACTAAAACAGAAACACGGTTGGAATATTCTTGGCAATGTGCCACATGAACTGATTGGCAAGCCACAGCATTGGTAATGGATGCTGAAAGGACAACCAACCAGTAGTGTGGTGTCAACCAATCCAAAGAAGCCCTGTCACCACCAACAGGAGGGCGAGGACTTTTTTTTTCTACTTCGCCAAAATCAACCCCACTTGAAGTACCCAAGAAAGGATCAGCAGAGTCCATCTCCCCTTCTCAACCGGGTCTGTCAGTGGATTCACTTTTAATAAAGGAGAGAACAGGACTGGGTCAGGGCCAGAAGACGAGAAGACCTTAAACAGGGATCATTACCGTGTGGGTGGCATGGAAGACTTGTGGCAAACTGATCTGAGTGACCTCATGGCGTATCAGGAAGAGAACCAAGGCTATCATAGGGAAGTGCTTCAAGGCACCATTTACCCCCAAGAACCGCAACCCATGAAGAAAACCGATGATGTACACACAGTTCGTGTCCTAAAACTGCACCGCCACCAAAAGAAGGAAGAATTGTTGGTGAGATTGTCAGGATACCCAGGCATCTTTGTTTCATGGATACCTGCTGCCAATTCGGTCTTAAAATAGGGTTCCCTCTGTCTGACACCATCAGTTGTCATCACAATACCAGCAAACATCATTCACCACACTGGTGTTGTTTTGGCATGTTTTTGTTCAAGAGATTCTTATTTATGGTGTGGTCTTCATGAGTATGGTCCAGTTGGCTTTTGACCATTTGTGGCTTTGTTGGCCAGTTGCTTGGGGTATTTGCTCCCACAACCTAAACTGGTATCTTCTACGCCATCACCACAACAGTTTGCATTCCTCCACATCACCTACCTCCTCCTTGTCCAGTCTTGTCCCTAAAGGGTGTATCAAAAGACGTATGTGACGAATACGTTGTTTTCCAAACAGGATTTTTATGTGACCTTGCCCAATTATGCTTCCATGGATGTTCATCCTAACAACAATGGGTATGATTATGTGTCCAAACTCCCCTTTTCTTTCCAAATAAATCGTAGGGTAAATATTTTGGGGTATTTGGGACAATCAGCACTGTCCTTTCTCAAGACTGTAGGAAAATCAACACTAAAAACAGGACCATGCATGTTTCCTGAAATAGTGGTAGATATCAGTTCTGGACATAAAGTATCAAGGACAGTTTGAAACATCATGAGAAGTACGTGTTACTCACCACATTGCCTCAACACCATCTTGGGCAGCAGCAGCTCGCAAAAGAAGCATCAAACGCACACCTACTCCCTGTCGTATTATTATGACTATAAATGCAAATCCACGACACCAAGATGTCCCTGATATCATGTGGGCGTCTGGAAAGGCGAGAGAAAAACTCTTTATGGCAACTGGGTGACGTTCTGGATGCATGACCTGCTTCTTCTCACACCTTGAGTAATCCATATGATTAATTTCAACAACGTTTGAGGTCTTTTCAAACTTGGCATAATTATGGCATTATTGCTGCGGTGTGAAACTCATGCTAACCCTCAAGAACATCAGAATTATGCCAAAGTCCTCTGTGAATGCTTATGCGTGTTTTGTCTTAATGGATAAGTGAACGAAATACAGACGACTGTGCATGTAGTCCAAAGAAGAATGGAACAGAAGAGCAGAGTGCCTTGGTCGACCCAATTCCCGTGTCTTTTGTAAGTTATGCTTGTTTGCTTTGGAAATATATATTGAAACGTAATGACAGTGTTCGGGGGGACACCAGAAATGGGCTTCACACATTGTACCCATGTGGGGAATCGAACCCAAGCCTTCAGCGTGAAGAGCGGACGCTTCAACCACTAGGCTACCCCACCGTCCCCTGACGATCCTGATGTTGGGTGGTGACCCTTGGTTTTCCACTACGTGGTAGGCCATCTGTAGTGTTGGTGGTCTGGTACCGTTGCTGGAGCCTGTATATGGTCTTTACGTGGACTTGCATTGGCTACTTGCCGGGCGGTTTGTCCAGCTTGCAATCGTCCAAGGGCTTGGTGTCGCTGATTTCTCGTCAATCTTGGCACGTGGTAGCAATTCAGTAGAATGAATGTTATCCGATCTGGGTGGATTTTTATAGGGCAAGAAATGGGGGAACGCATGTGCATTTCAATTTTCACGGAACTCACGTGCAGCGGGTTGCCATGGCCGTTGCCTTGATGCGTTTGGGGGATCGGTTTTATTGTCATCTGCTTTGTTTTTTATCATCAAATTTCATTTTTCCGGACAAGGTAATGTTAAATTTTAGAAACTTTGACAAAACTTATCACGAGTTTTTACATGACAACTTTTCATGCAATGTTACTTGGGGTGACGTTTCTTTTGCGGTTCAGTATTATAGGGCCTCAGACAATCAGAAAAGCTTCATGTTACCACACGTTCACTGATGATGTCATCGGAGCATGCACTACCATGATGTCATTTAGTATGCTTGAGGCAGGGTATCATTCTCGCTCACTAATGACAACATGGGCCCTCCCAATCCACATCGCCGCGAATAGCTGCAAAATTGCTGATGCGGCGTTAAGCAATATTCACTCTCTCCCAATCCACAAGAGAGCAGCCTTTCTGACTCAACTCGGTGTTTTTGAGGCCTTTCGAAACGTAAGAACAGACTGACGTTGATACCTCCGGAACTGCAACAACACTTCATGCTTCCAACCTATTCAACTTTGTCCCGTCAGCCATGTCTTCATGTCTTGGGGAATACTAAGAAAGACAACAACAAGAATTGCACGACTGTTCCATTTTGTCTTCATAAGCATGGATCTTGTATGCAGGTGTCAGTAAAATATTCCCACAATTCCAACGGCTCTTCTTTTACCCAGCTGGACACTCTCTGTCCATCCTCGCCACGACCCCTCACATCACCCGCCACCCCGCTTCCTTCCTCTTCCTCTCTCTCCTCCAACCATACGCCCCTAACCCGTTTCCGTCCCGTCCCGTGAGATCACGCCAAGATGGCGGCACATCCTGTCACGAGACCGGTTTTGACGCCATCTTGCCGGGACATGGGGCTTTTTCCACCGAAACCGGAAGTGTACTGAAACCGGAAGAGTCGCCATCTTGGAAAACGCGCCATAGAGACCTGTTAGACTTCTCATATCTAATTTACGCGAAGAAAATTATTATTTGTAAGCACAAATCTGACAGGACGACTATTTATAATACTAATTTCATTTAATTAATTATTCGGAATACTGTGTTTTGGGATTTCTCAATAGTGCTGAATCTGTCATGATTTTATTGTTCCCTATTAAAGAGTAGTGTGGAGAAAATTATGGTTTGATGAAATGGAAGCAAATTATGCGCATTCTAAACCGATTGTCACTGATCAATAGAATATATTATTCTCAGTCGATGCCACATGACGTATTATGTACAATTGACGGACGACATGCTTATGCTATAGTCGGAAGCGTACAATGGACCCTGCTTTTAGAATAGATTTCTTATCATTATGGAGATGGTTTTAAGGCGTATATTTACGTTATTCTATTACGAAAGCAGTCGCGATTCTTTTCTCACTGTGTTATGCTAGAATGGAGATAAACCTACTCTGTTTCAAAGTTAGAGGTTTCAAACCCCTTTCAGTTTTAAAATAATATACATTTAATCGAATCTACATTTAAGATCTCTAAATCAAGAACACAGTAGGTTTATTTCCTAAATAGAGAAGGTTACTAATATAACGTACCCAATGTTTACAATTAAATTATACTTTGTGATATATATACACAAAGAAAAAAGTTAAGCACACCCTAATATAAACTAAGCGGCAAAAGAAAGTATAGGTGTGCAATTTGTAATTTTCCTAAAAACAGCGATAACTAGTGGAAAGTGGGTATTGGGAATATAACTGCCTAGGAACAGGTACCCAAAAACACCTCACCCGAACGCACCACCTTTGACGGCGCTCGTGCGGTGACCAAAAAATGGTGAAACAGGTTTCCCGCTTTGGCATAAACTGCACGCGCATGTAGGCTGTATGAATGCGTTCGTCTGCAGGGTATAACCACACGTGATGAAAGCACACTAAAGAAATGCAACTGCAAATGACTGTCACAGGAGCAGAGAGAGAGAGCCATCGGCATGGCCGAAATGGGGGCAACACAGGTCCAAATTGCCAGAAGGTTTGGTTGTACACCATTGACAGTAGCCAGGCCGATTCAATGGTACAGGCAGACAGGGAGGACACAGGACAGGCCTAGAACCGGACGACCCCGAGTGACAACACCACTAGAAGACGGTCAGATACGGCTCATTCACCTGCGAAACATATTCGTAACGGCGACGGCGACTGCAGCAACAGCGTTGGGACATTAGCCAACGTACAGTACTACGACGACTTCGTGCTGCTGGAATCCGAGCGTATCGCCCTTTCCGAGGAATGGTACTGACGGCTCAACATCGACGCCTGAGACTGCGATTGGCGAGGCAGGTTCGACGCTGGCAAGTGCGAAATTGTCGTCGAGTGTTGTTTACAGATGAAAGTCGGTTTAACTTGTTTCGAAATGACGGCAGAGAACGAGTTTATCGACGCAGAGGGGAACGTTTGGCTCCGGCGTGTATTCGAAAGGTCCAGACATTTGGCGGGGGAGGTGTCATGGTGTGGGGCGGTATTTGTGGAGATCAGAACCTGATGTTGTGATTATACAGGGAAACCTGAACGCTGTGCAGTACAGAGACCAAGTGTTGCAGCCAGTTGTGCTTCCGTTCTTACAAAACCAACAGCAGGGGACATTGTTACAACACGACAATGCCAGGCCCCATACAGCAAGACTGACTCGGAACTTTCTAAACCAGCAGAACGTTGACGTTTTTCCCTGGTCTGCCCACCATCTTGACAGACAGATTAGAGCACGCAATAAGCCTCCCGTCAAAACAGACAAGAATTGCAGCAGCCCTGAGAGACGAGTGGCAACGGATTCCAGTCCACGTCATCAGAAGACTGACGTCATCGATGAGGCGGCGTATCACAGCATGCATTGAGGCAGCTGGAGGTCATACACGCTATTTAAGGCAATTGTGTCAACAATGAACTTGTAGTGTGTCTGACAATTTTTTGGTGACATTTCTGACAACCTTAAAAGTTTGAAAATGAAATTTCTTACCCCACCATTATTTACCTTGAGCTTACATTACCTGTGATTGCACAATTTCATTCAAACTGTGGTTGAATAATCATTTGTTACTTCTCCCTAGATTATATTATAATTCACAACAAAACCTCTTCTTGTTATTTTTTATCATTCATGGAACTCGACCTATACTTTCTTTGGCCGCCCAGTTTAATTCATTATTGCTTGGTCCCAATATTTGTAACGGTCATGAAAGATACAATTACAGGAAGAATTATGTTTTCTCGAGATGATATAATCAGTCATGCGTGACAATAGCTCACGTGCCTTACATGGTATGCCGTGCAGCATGCTACCCTCGAGGATCTCTAAAAGCAGTATATCCGAACGTTAAAATTGCTTTCTAAAACTCGGTTTTAAACAGTTATTCCATGACATTGTGTGACCATGGCGATTATCAAACGCCACAAGATGGCAAATAATCGGCATGCATAATGCAGGAATGTCTTGCTATGACATTGGTCGGAATTTGGGGTATCATCACACTGTCGTAAGCCGTTTAGTTGAGAAACATTCTCAGACCGGTGATGTACAGGACCGTGCCAGATGCGGAAGTCCTCCTGTGACGACACATCGCAAAGACAAGGACCTTCTTCATCTCATACGCCGAGAACCCTTTTTAACAAGCACACGTCTGAAACAGCTGTGGTTGCCCAATCGTCGTTTCAGCACCAGAACCGTCAGGAACCGGCTGAATGCAGCAGGACTGGGGGCTAGACGAGGGCGTCCCTTGTTGAGAGATCACCACAAAGCTGCTCGTTTATCATGGTGTATTGCGCGACAGAACTGGAATCTGAGAACTTGGAGACGGATTCATTGGTCAGACGAAAGTCGCTTACTGCTTACTGATGGAAGAACGAGGCACCGGTACACGGCCTACACCTCTAGGAACATTGAACCGACTGTTGCATACGGCGGGGATTCGGTAATGGTTTGGGGGTGTATCTCTCATGATTGCAGGTTGGAGTTTGTCACCATAAGGGACAACGTTAACTGGGACTCAGTACATCCGGGTCGTTTTGAGGCCAGTCGTCGTTCCTCATTTTGAGTACCACGCTCTTGCTACTCCACCTCAGTACATGGATGACAGTGCCAGGCCTCATCTTTCACATGCAGTCGTGGAATACATGAGGGCCAAAGCAATAACGACTCTACCCTGGCCAGCAATGAGCCCAGATTTGAACCCCCTTGAACATGTTTGGGATATTCGGGGGCGGCGCATACAGGTACGAGATCCTCCTGTACGAGATTTACGCCAATTGAAAGCAGCATTGCATCAGGAGTGGTTGTTGTTGTACCCGCTACTGATCTGTTAATAGCAATAATCATTAAGAAACAAGCCTTGAAAGGAATTATTTTAACGTTTAACGTTAGTTATTTCTGTTGTAATTGATAATCGTGACTGAAATAGTTTCATTATTTCCCTGTCAGGTCCAATAAACTAAAAATTTAATTTAATTCAAAATTTATAAAATAACCATTGGACTGTCTCCACTTAAGAAATGACACATTATAAAAATAAGGTGTGGAAAAATTACATCAACATGCATGTTTCACATCTTAGAAGAAAGGTAGGTTGGCATGGTGGCATGATTTAGTTCATCTAAAACTGGGACCGACCATTTCATACTATTCTTTGCCAATTTTGTTTAAAAGACACAATATGTTTCACTCTTCGGTTCAAGACATACATCAGTACATACACAATGTCCAGTACATCAAATTGAGTTTGGTGAACCTGAGGCACAAATGATTCCAGTATTTCTGGGATCAACTTAAAACAAAGCCAATTGAGGTCAAACATGATTTATTCTGATTTCCATTTTACTTGAGTTTTAACCGACTTACATCATATGTACTTACACTTTGTTTGATGTTTTGTAGGGCAATAGTCCCTATGTGTTTCAACCGGGACAATGTGGTGACCCAGGCCGCTATATCCACCTGACGTCGGACTTTGTCCTGGATAACCAGATCGACCGTCAGATTAATTATGGAGATGCAGGTATAGTTTCACCATACATTATTGAGATTTTTTCACTCCATTTTGGCCATCAATATTTACCATATCAAAGGTGTATGTATAACTTTTTTTGACTAAGATTCAAGGGAGACAGCTCCGCTCGTCATATTTGTAAAGCATTACCAGATTCATAGTAAACAAGGTAGCAGGCGGCAAACACTGTGGAAATGGCAGCTATGGCAAAAGAGAAGTATTATTTCTGAATTATAGAATCAAGGAATCAGATCAGCACAGGTAATTACAGAGAGAACAGTCATTCAACTATCAACTGTGTCTTGAAAAAGAGAGCATGTAGACAAAAGACATTGACTGTTGGTGGCAGAAACAGACGCAAGAGCACAGAACATATTTGGCATGAAATGATTAATAGAGAAACATTTCATGGATTGGCAGAAATTACGAGGAATTCCATCACCACTCCTAAAACCTGAACAGCAAGAAAGACGTTTAAACATGTGTTTGTAGCATAGACATTTTCATTAATGGGACAATGTGAAAGTTCAGTGTGGCTATATCCAAACTAGATCAAATGTGGACGAAATGTACAGGAAAACCAATTTACAAGCACCCAAACTACAGTCTTAAATTTCAACAGCACACTGTATGGTGACGAGTGTGTATTCCAGCAAATCAATGATGTAAAACATAGAGCAAAGCATTTCCTGGAATGACCCGGCTACACTCCTAACCTGAACCCAATTTAAAATATTTGGGGAATCATGAAGGTTAATATCAATGCAAAAACTGAAAAAATATAAGTGATATGAAATCAGAGAAGGTGAGATATTGGGACAGTATGACTATGATTTTCTAACTTCTTTGATAGGCAGTATGCCTCGCCACTAGGAAGATAGTTTATCTGACAAACTGTTGTGAACAGTTTGCTGTTTTGTAACTTTAGGGAAGCAGTGTTTTGTTAGACAAATTTATCTCTTGGTCTATGACTTAATGAATCTATAGTTTACAGCCTTCTCGTTCTCAATAATTTCTGGTCAAACTTTGTTAGACATATTGATAGAACTACAACCGTGTTTGTAAGTACTTGCAAAAGGGGCGGTCGGGTAGCCTAGTGGTTCAGGCGTTCGCTTGTCACGCCGACGACCCGGGTTCGATTCCCGACATGGGTACAATGTGTGAAGCCCATTTCAATATCACATGCTTCAATGAATGTATAATTGTTTTTGGATCAATATTAAATATGCGAATTATATCATATGCTAGTCTTACCTCTTTACCTCTATAAAAAGAATTATACATTTCCAAGGTCGTGTACTGGTTCATGAGTTTGCTCATCTGCGATATGGAGTGTTTGGCGAATATGGCGTCCGTGACAGCCTGCAGCATCCAGTATATTATATAGACGACAATTCAACCATACTTCGTCCAACTGCCTGTTCTGCTGAGGTTGTTGGGGTCTTCCATGATGTTGTCAATGGTGGGGACTGTGCAACTGGTGACACGTCCACCCCTTTGAATGAGAACTGTATCTTCCTCCCAAGCACTACTGACAACGTTGCCACGGCATCTGTAATGTATGCCCAGTTTTTACAAGAGGTATGCAAACGTTAATTTATTAATTATGGCATCCCTATCTACATTAATAACAACAGTATTGCACTTATAATAACAATAACGAAACCCTTTTGTGTATAAAATACATGTAGATTGTCTGCTACATATTCATAGGAATTTCAGCTTTAGATCATGTTTCGTTTAGGTCACCGAGTTTTGTGAATCCAACCCACAAGACAAGAAGCGAAAACATAATGCTGATGCCCCTAACAGACAAAACAAAATGTGCAACAAAAGAGGCACATGGGACGTCATACGGGAACATCTGGACATTAGGGGACATTAACCTGTTGGCACTGAAGACCGAACACCACAGTTTCAGATAAGATACAGCCAAGCCAAAACATTTGCTGGAACAAGAAGGTGTGGACGAAGAACTGTGCTTGTTCTCGACCTCTCGGGTTCCATGGAATCGGTAAGATGTTCGATTTTATTCATTGAGATCCTTCATCTAAAAGCAGCGTGCATTGTACGGTTTCGTGTATATCACAAGCACATGTTTACGATTCGGTATCACGTTGATGATACCAGGTTTTCGCAAAAATGTCAGCGTATCCTGGCGTCTACAGAATAGAATAGTTTAGCATATTCATCCCCGCTGGTACCGGTAAAGCCATGGTGCATTTGAGAATGTCAGTGATGGAAACATTTCCCCATATTATGATCCTCAGACTTAAATTGATAGCGGCCAAGCAATGCACAAGATTCCGAAGTTCAGATTTAAATTGTGAAAGGATGTCTGTACGTAAAAGAAACACTCGCATTGATTATATCATTGCAATTGGTAATTATACAGTCGTCTTGATTTAATTGATGAGAAGTCCTCACTTGCCTATTCGGTGCTTAAATTATTCCAACTGATTTAAATAATTATCCTTACTTAGTACTTCAACTTCTAAATGCCTCTCAAAAAAATGATTTTATGATTCAAAATTTCTCTGATACGTTTTCTCACAATAACATCCAGATATACAATATCAAAAAAATCATAATCCAATCGCGTGGATCGACGCTCATGTTTTTGGTCACTGGTATGCCCCGTTACGACTATGTACAGGCCGCTGTGATATAGCTGATATATTGCTGACAATTGAGTTAAACATTCACTCTCTGGCACAGGACAACAGATACTTCAGACAGCATCAACTGGCAGACCTAATTATTAGAGACATCCTTCCCGTGGGTACAGAAGTGGGCATCGTTGTGTTCTCCGATTCCGACAGAGTCTTGGCCAGCATGCGAGTCATCACATCGCCAGCAGACAGACAGGCGCTGGCCCAGGGGCTACCAGTCAAAAGTAACTATGGTGGTGGCACAGCAATTGGACAAGGTCTTCTTGGGGCGATTGAGGTACATAAAAGAAGAAAGATGCTTCTATAGCCAAGCGATGGGGTTAGGCCTGATACATGGAACTTATCAGACTGGCGATCAGAATCATAAGGCCAGTAATGCCATAACTTTCTTAATAACTGAAGGTAAAGTTAAAAACTTTATTTAAGTTGTACTTCTTTAAATGTTTTTCTCAAAATGGAAGAGATATTATCAAACCGGATGTGCATATGACCTTCTTATGAAGGCACGATCCATTTTGTTTTAAATCCGTACTGTATGATTTCATGTGTTCTTAAACAAGAAATGGTGTTACTAGAAGTGGACATAGCGTTCTTATTAAGGCTGCGTGAGGGATAGAACTTTCTGTTGTAAAGTTGTATTACATTTTTGTACAAACCTAAACTCAGTGAGAGGCGTGGGTTTTATGGTTTATAGTCTTGTGTTTTCTCAGGCTGAAACTAAAAGTATTGTTATGAGCCGTGTATGGAGGTATGTATTTATTTATAGTGCCATGGGGACATAATCCACTTCATAATATGTTAATGTTACATTTGACTTGACACAGTTGTAATTAGACCTGCTTTCCCTGCATCGTTGTCGTCAGTAAACATCTTCTACCCAGAAAATTGGATCAATGAAGCTGAAACTTTGCATGCATGTAATGAAAAGTGAATGTGATCTCAAGAGATTTGAAAAGTCCAATTTGTCCGCCATTCTTTTTGGAAATGTAATAAAATTTTGTATGTTGTAGTTGGATGTAGGGCAAAACATATCTGTTCCGTTTTTGCAATGTAATAAGTTATGACTTTATTCGAACTTTACACTTTTATAATGCCCTTAAATTCTCTCAAAATACATTTGTGTACAGTATACCTATCTTCTGTGAAACTGCTGATGAAGCTTATTTTGTACCTTCAAATGATGGTATCATAATTTGTTCAATTAAAGCGACAAAACCTTTCCATATTCATGAGAAATCGATTCAGATTATATTATGATCTGGTGTTTATGAATCACTATCAACTAGTGATGATACCAGGTGTTGGCGAAAAGGTGAGTGTATTCTGCCCCACCAGTGGCACCCTTCATAAACTGTGATTTTGAAAAAGTATTTTTCTCATATATTGCCCTAAATATATTCAGCAAAATTCAGCATAGATTCCTGTCGCCATAATAAGATTGACATGTTATGTGGTCTTGTTATTTAATAATTTATTTGCTTGTTCTAAAATTTAATGAAATAAGAAGGGTTTTTTTTAAACCCTCAAAGCTTATAGCCAAGAGAATTAAAGCAGAAAATGCCTGATATATGCCTGGAGTAGTTTCCTGACATTATGTCATTGGGAGGGCAATGAGGTCAAGGTCACCATAAATAAACAATTGATGAACATTTTAAAATAAATCCAGATTTTACGACGTGGGTGTCACCAAAATTCTGTCATGAGCAATAATTTAGAACTCTTTAAAGGATTTAAAGATTCCCCCGTACTTTAGTATTTAATTACAATGTTTGTTCCAGCTCCTGGAAGCCAATAGTAAATCAACAGAGGATGGCCAGGTGCTTCTCATCACTGACGGGAAAGAGAATGTACAACCTCTGATATTGGATGTACTGGCAAACGTAACAAGTAAGCAGGTCGCTGTCCACACTCTGGCCATTGGGACTGAAGCTGACCCAAACTTAGAAAATGTGTCTTCTGTAACAGGTTAGTTAAGTTTTCCTCTGTGGTTTGAAGATATCGTAGCTCACTGTAATCAAATATCAAGTAAGGTCTTCTCAGAAACCAGTAAATTAAGCAGCTGATACTTATCATAAAATGACACATTGATCTGCTAAAACTGTTCTGGCCTTATGTGGCAATAGAATGTAATTTTCTTATAAAATGAAAAGAAATTTGATGTCGCCACACAAAACCTTGAACACGACAAAACGTGTTATGAAGATAACGTTTTGTTGCAAAGTGAGTATATAATGTACAACAAAAAACACACCAAATACGTTATCCAACATCCTCAAGGAGGATCAATATATTGCACTGTCAACTCTAATTGCGAGTGCGTTAGAATATCCGGCTAAAAATTAGTATGAACTGTAAGTCCAAAGTAATGTTTTCAACGCTAGTGACATAAATTGTGACCTTGCACGCATGAGTTCTCTTTCATCATACACGAATTTACATGTAGGTGGACAATTTCTTTTCGATGACGAGAGCTCCACATCGACAACTATGGAGGCTGTTGGAGAAAGCTTGTTCAAAGCAATTAGTATGTGTGAAGACAACAACGTTATTGAGGTGAGATATCGACAAGTAGGGTAAATACCCTGCTTAGCGATTAAGAGATGATTAAAGGGGAATAAAGATCGTCCTCTCGAAAGGAAAACAAATCATGTAAAAGAACACAAAATGGGAGTGACACAGTCATAATACTGTAATTAGTTCGTTTGTTGCTTTATGGCATAGTCATCAATATTCCAGCTATATCATAGTGGCCTTTAAATAATCTGCTCAAACCATGCTTGTAGGCCATAAAAATTGAATGTTAACATTGAAAATAAAGGGATCGCCTACTCCCCAGCAGATATGATCATATCATTATCCCCCGACATATAATGACGGGGGGGATATAGCCATCAGTATGTCCGTCTGTCCGTCCGTCTGTCTGTCCGTCTGTAATCATTGTTTGTCCGGAGCATATTTCCTAAACCGTACAACCTAGCTTCACAAAACTTGGTACACTTAATTAACAATCAGGCTCACTAGAAGTGCCTTTTGCTATTTAGAGATTTTTAGAATTTTATATTTTTGGCGTTTCCATGGAAATATGATGAACTTAGGAAATTTGAGAGTAGCGCTCTTGTCCGGACCATATCTCCCGAACCATACAACTTAGCTTCTCAAAAGTTTTTACACCTATCAAGCAGGTTATGTAGTGGTGCCTTTGCTATCAACAGATTTTTTCCTTTTTTTTCTTTTTTCAATTTAAATTGAAAATTGATGAACTTAGGGTAATGTCCTCGTCTGGAGCATATCTTCTAAACCATGCGACAGAGATTCACCAAACTTGATGCATATATCAATCATGTTCACTAGTAGTGCAGTTGGTTATTTATAGATTTTAATCTTTTTAATTTGTAGTCCCTGACATATAATGAAACAATATGTTTAGGTTTGTTTTTTTGTCAATCCCTAGTACATTCTATTTAAGCCTTTGTGTCATGAGGCTACTACAGAGCTATTCATATGCGAATCTGCGAAGTTATTGTTATTACAATATCATGAGATCATCAGAAAGTGAGCTACATGAACCAATATTTTATAACCTTCAGTATCTTTCTGGTTTTGGCATCAAGGAAAAAGATTTCCTTGCCAATCTAAATACATTTGAAGGTACACACAGTTTACCGACATGCCACGTCGGGGGAATATGTCATCTTCGGATGACGCTTGTTTCCATTTGCAAGAACCATATAGATAGGATAATATGTGTTTCATTCCCACTACCCCGTACTTTCTTGCATAGTATACATACAGAGAAGACGCCAGGTATTTTGGAGACAGAAGCATCCCATCATTCGTGAAATCGTGAGTTCGTGGGCTTGTCAACGAATTTTATTTAATTGTGTGTGTGATACTATTGAGAAGAAAATGCCAATATTCACTGTGTCAGGAACCGTACTACATTCTGTGTGTTAAAACAGATTGATCGATATGCAGTGTTGCTGACCTCAGTGCAGAGGAACTTCACCAAACGCATCTGGATGGATTCTTCAGTTGGTAACAAAACCCTGTTTGCCTTCATATTGTCACCGAATGCTAGAACTGAAGTATGTCAAAAACAGAGGATTTTCTGATGTATGTATGACATGATGTAAGTGTACAACGTGTTTTTTTTTCTCAAAACTTACTAAATTGTAAATCGTGTAAAATTGTAAAACTGTTTGATTGTTGTGGATCATCAAAGTTCTGTTGGTCATCTAGTTGTGACCAGCACATTTGTGTGGTTCATTTACACATAGGTCTTCCTGGACAACATATAGCTTTAGAAAACAAAACAAAAACAATTCATATTCTAAATGTCTCTTCATGTGTACATTGTTGATAAAATGGGTTTTGTTGATTTTTTTCTCCTCCCCCGCACTTTTAAACCGGCCTTCATAGCCGTGATCATTTAGTTGTGAAACATCGATTCATTACATCAAAAGGCAAGGTTATCCTCAAGGTCTTAGCCTGAAAACGCTGTTGTTTACCTCCACGAGAAGCATTTGTTGAAGGTCAACGATGCCGATATAGTGGTAAGGTTGGACCGTGTAACCATGGTCTAAAACGTTCGTGACCAACGCATAATGTCAAGGTCATATTCGTCAAGAGGCAAGATCACCCTCGAGGTCTTACTCTGAAAAGGATTCTGAAACTTTCTCAAACCGAATATGATCGTATCAGACTCTGGTGGTATGTAATGAGATATTCTTGATATGACAAGGAAGTGGTTTCTTCTGATTTTGCAAGCTCTTACAGACACGCTCGTAGTGTACTCACTCTTGAATTCTATTGTCCCATACCTGATGTTTGTTCCTTTCAAAATTTCAGGTGACTATTGAAAACCCAAGTGGGACCACCTACAATTCATTTTCCCTGGAATACAGCAAAGACGAGTCTCTGAACATAATTAGATTTACCATCGATTTAGCTAAGGTAAACACTTTTTGCAAAGGTGAGTGAGTGAGTGAGTTGGGTTTTTACACCACTTTTAACAGTATTCCAGTTATATCGCGGCGTGTCAGGTTAATGTGGGAGGAAAACCCGAAGTGATGCAGGTCTCAGACGTTTACCACTTCGGTGAAACCCACGAGCACGGGTATGGTGCTGACAGACCTAGAAACCCGGCGAACCGGGATTCGAACCCCCACAATCACAGATTTCTGGCGTGCCCAAGGGACGCAACTCTGCACAGTGAATCGCGGCGCCTTGGACGACTAAGTTTGCTCTTATTATACAGAAAGTAGTAATACGTTTATCCCGAATTGATGTCTTAAACACAAATATACAGACTGAAAGGTATTGGTTTCTACTTTAAAAGAAATTATACGAATGAAAATATGTACTTTATGAATATTTGTTGAAAGTTATCCGAATTCCTTAAAAAATGTTTATAAATATAAGTTTATCCTAAAATTGATGTCTTAACCACATTGAAAGGTATTGGTTTGTATACAAATGAAAATATGTACTTTATGAATATGTTTGTTATCCACATTCCGTAAAAATTGTTTATATAAATTGTAATCGTGGTCATGTGGCCTCCAATTCTGATATAAAAGAAAGAAAGAGCCAATCTTAGCGACGTAAGAGACGACTAAAATGGACTGGATGGTCAGTTCACTAATCCCAATATCTAATTTGCCTGATCCAGATACGAGTATTTACAAGGGGTCATGATATAGCTTGTGTATTCCTGACTGGTGTTAAAAAGCCATTCACAGTCATTCAAATTTCTGCATTTCAGAACGGCACCTGGAAGTGTCATCTTATCCGTCGGTCAAACGTAGATGAGTCCGTAAAGGGTGTGGTTAGGTCTTACTCACGTGTTGGGTCTGTGCCCGTTGAGGTGGAGACGTGGACTAGCTCTAAACTGTATGATTATGCCCAAGGCCGTGGAGTAGTTGTCTACACACATGTACATCAGGGATACTCTCCTATCATCCGGGCCAAAGTTGAGGTGACTGGATCAAAAGTGGGCGTTCCATTGATACTGCTAGATAACGGAATCTGTAAGTACAAATCATTTACGCCGTTTTGTAATGATTTGCATCAACATAACACTTCTTGTTCTGTATTGAAATACCGTGCCATCATATAAACGTTTATATCTCTACGATTTTCAAAACTGTTATGTTTATGTGTGTGTGTGTGTGTGTGTGTGTGTGTGTGTGTGTGTGTGTGTGTGTGTGTGTGTGTGTGTGTGTGTGGAGCGGGTCGGGTCGGGGTTGGGGGTGTTTTGCTTAAATTAACGAGGTAAATATGAACTCATGACATAGATCTTCGTCCGTCTGTTCAATGATTTCATAATATTCTACAAATCTCCAGCCACATCAAAGTAAAGTTTCGTTGAGCAAAATACTTTGAAAAAAACCTTGACTGATGCTTCACTGTCAGCTGTCAAAAATAGCATGTCAGCTAATTATGTATTATGTAAGTACATCACTCGATGTCGACCTTACTTTTAGTGCCTGACAACACCCGTGATGACGGAGTGTACAGCAACTCCCGCTACTCCTTGGAAGTGAAGGTTGAATCGGTGGAGGGACAGACGGCCGTCGTCAGGGCTGGTTCCCAGTCTGGCCGGACACTGAGCGTCTTTCAGAGTATGCCATATGCCCTCATATTACATTAACCCTGTCTGTCAGAGTATGCCCTCATATTACATAAACCCTGTCTGTCAGAGTATGCCCTCATATTACATAAACCCTGTCTATCAGAGTATGCCCTCATATTACATAAACCCTATCTGTCAGAGTATGCCCTCATATTACATAAACCCTATCTGTCAGAGTAAGCCCTCAAATTACATTAACCCTGTCTATCGGAGTATGCCCTCATATTACATTAACCCTGTCTATCGGAGTATGCCCACATATTGCATTAACCCTGTCTATCGGAGTATGCCCTCATATTGCATTAACCCTGTCTATCAGAGTATGCCCTCATATTACATTAACCCTGTCTATCGGAGTATGCCCACATATTGCATTAACCCTGTCTATCGGAGTATGCCCTCATATTACATAAACCCTATCTATCAGAGTAAGCCCTCAAATTACATTAACCCTGTCTATCGGAGTATGCCCACATATTGCATTAACCCTGTCTATCGGAGTATGCCCACATATTGCATTAACCCTGTCTATCGGAGTATCCCACATATTACATTAACCCTGTCTATCAGAGTATGCCCACACATTACATTAACCCTGTCTATCAGAGTATGCCCATACATTACATTAACCCTGGCATATTACATAATCTACGGATATAGTAGAACCATTTGGCCATGTTACATAAATACGGCAAGAACCTTTCCACAATCGTATTGGGAAATCACAGATAAAAGCAGACTACAATATAAAAATATAACGTTAATATGTCTCGATTTTCCAACGCAATCGATATCATTGGGCGTGATAGGCAAAGTGATGGTGGACATTACATGAATGGATCAATGAAAAGCAGTGATGACACCATAAAGCACTTGTTAATGAATCACTGTCAAACTGTGATCATATAACACAAGTTTTCGCGAAAAGCTCAGCGTGTCCTGCCCCACCTTTGCACCCGTTACAAACACATGCAAAGGCAAGTCAAGTGTGCAAATCATAATAGGGAATTGCATCAGACATAATATTGCACTGATTTGCATTGCTTAAAGACGAAAACCTCTGAGTCAGTAACAGTAGGAGCGTTACAAGATCCAGTGCATACCATGTATATGATTGTATAATCGGAATATGTTTACCGTTCAGATGTAACCCCACCTGTCGTGCTTGAGCCAGTGGAACTTTTCAGCAGGGCGTCTTCCCCGGGTGCTATAGAGGTCTCTGGCCATGACCCTACAGTTGACCAGTTCAACCCAGGCCGAGTCACTGACCTTGACATTGTTATGCAGGATGCCGGCCTTCGGACCCTAGCATTGACTTGGACAGCACCAGGTGATGACTTAAATGAAGGAACTGGTGAGTTGACTAACTGGAGCAATCTTTGGTCTAGTTAATGGTTGTCTTGAACATAAAATATTGTATGGCCCACATGACTCTGGTCAAAGGAAATTGAATACGGGAGTGTTAGGTGGTCGACCATAAATGTTGTTTACTGCATTAGGTTAGTAGCAAATATATTGTTTTAATTTCAGTGGCAAAATATGAAGTGAGGGTTGCTGAGACGTTTTTGAGTCTGCGAGACAACTTCACCCAGGCTCTGCTGTTTAGCAGTGAAGATGTTGTCAAGGGAAGCATAGATCCAGTTCCGGCAGGCTCCATTCAAAATGTCACTCTCCGTTTACCAAGCATCTGGTCGAGTGACTTCTTTGTAATTGGACTAATCGCACTCGACGAGGCAAATCGTCAATCAGATCTTTCTAATTTTTGTTCAACCACCTTTAAACCCATCACCGTCCCTCAACGGCCGGCTGCGTCAGATAAAACTAACAAGCCAACTGTGTGGGTGATATGGGTAGATGTTGGTCTGGGAGTAGCTGTTGCCATAGCTGTTGCAATTGTGGTAACAGTTGTTTGCATTAACAAGAGGGCAAAGGGCGACAACCCTGCCTAAATATTAGTCATGCATACTGCTGGTGAATTGTTGAACATCTATGACGCTTTGATATACATAATTATCTCATTTGTTTCTTTAAACTATTATACTATTTATACTATACTTTCATTTTGCGACGCTCTGTTGTGTGTTTACTTTCTATAGCTATGACGATTACAACCAAACGTACATAATAGCGACCAAAACCATCTCTATAATCAAACGAAACTCTCTACTGAAAGCAGAGTCAATTGTACGATTCCAACTATATCCTCAGCATGTTTTTATGAAACACTTTCAAATAGTGATGACACTAGGTGTTCGCGAAAAGATGAGTGTATCCTGCTCCTCCGGTAAAACAATTTCAAAAGGATGATATTGCATTACCCACCTACTTCAATGCCAACTTAGCTCACGAAACTGTCCCACGTGTTTGATTGTATTCACGCAAGGGTAGGTCAGTCTATGAATCGATCGCCTTTAGTTTGTTTGGTCTCTTTATTGATGTGGCAGTCACCCGAACATTAATACCCTCAGGACTTACACGTTTTTGTTCATATCATCGTCTCTTTTCAAGCGTATGCAAGGAATACAAGATGTTAGTTTATTGGTCGTTTTCCGCCAACATTTTTTTTTACTGGAAACATCATCTGCCAAATGAATGCCAATCAGCTAACATGCCTTTGTGAAAGGGAGACTACTCGCCTCAAGGGTCCGTTTCAGCAGCGTTCAGGCCAATCATGAAAATACTATTGTCGATTTTCATTTTATTTTGTTGAAGTTAATCATACATAATAACGCATATCCATGATTCTAATTCATGGCAAGTGTATATCTACTGGAAATGCACACGCAGAGCTGTAGCCAATTTTACAATTATTCCTTTTCTTTTTTTGTACACGTATCCATTTTTCAGGGCACGGCTTGTTAAGCATCATGTAAGGATGTATTGCAGGACCCGATATTGTTTCATGTAATCGAATCGTATTTGCTTACTTACATCTGGTTGCTACGATATATTGGTTTCTGTATCAATGTATGTGGGATCACACTTCATACTCCATAAACTCTTAATAATAAATTTAAATACTTTAAGTAGCCTTTTCGAAGCATTCAGTTTGCATGTTAACACTGGTTTGCAAGTTGTGATCTATGACAGTCTACTTTCAACATAATGTACGCTTTAATTTTTTTTTAAATAAAATACGTATTTTGCCTCGACTCACGAACATAAGCTAATATTTGATAGCCATTTCGAAGCTGGGGAAACATGAAGACATGACACTTTTATGAATAACAACTTCTGTATTATTGTAACGACATTAACGGTTACGTCTTCATCAGGTAAATGATTAGATCATTTTGGCTCATTCAACATTGGCATACTGGATTCTATTTGGCTCCACGTGCTGTAAACGGTATCGTATCGAAGCACATTGCATGCAAGAGTGTGTACTCAAACACAGGAGAAACAAATATTTCATGAATTTTAAATCTGAAAACTGAGATTAATAACCCTGTTTCACGCCGAACAATTTAAAACGTATTCAGCGTATTCTAACCCAGAGCTCCGATTGACATGGAACATTTTTTCCTCAAATTCATACTTTGGTATATTTGCGTTTTTGTAGAGTGAGTAGAGTTTTCTGATATTGTACTATGCTTGCTGCCCTTAAAAGTTCCATTTGTAAATTAAATTATAGCTCTGGTCCAGTATATATATATATTGTTAACTTTTTTCCGTTTTGTTGTTTCTTTTGCCCTAACCGTATAAGAAATTCTCGATGTTTTTCACAGTTGTGATTCAATTTCTTTATTTCCGTACTGATGGAGGCCACAGGCCTATGGTACATTTATGAGTTGTACATTCACAGTAGTAGAGTCTATAACATAATATTATTTCTGTGTCTCATTGCATGATAAATGTACATAGATACATTTTGTAAAAGTAAGTACTTAGAGTTGTTTAACAGAGATGTGAATTTAAAGAAATTGGGATTGACATGGTAATATTCAGGTATATACTTAGCCCTGAATGTTGCATAAAATGGGCATATAAGAAGAAAGTGGTATTCATCTTCAATGTCATTTAGGGCGCACAAGTGACAAATGCGTTCTTCTCTTTTAATACGCGTGTAACGTCCAGTTTCAATAAATAAATTGTGTGAACAACATCGAAATCTTGCTAGGGAAACTCGGAATTCTTTTACTTTTAAACAAGATAAATACTGTTCGGGATATATATCATTTTTTACCATTTTGTAACAAATACATTTGTTTGATTCAGATACAGAATGAGACCAATTTTGTAAATATATATCTTTTTAGTCTTTGTGTTAATGATCTAATGAAATAAGAATGAGATTGTATATTTTGTTCACACCATACACAGCCATAACCAACAGAAAACAGTAAGTCTTTTACGTCTGTTACCCAATTTCGTTTTCCATTTTTATCAAAGAGTACCATCATAGTATACCATTTCTTTAGGGAACCTATAAGATGGCATATTCAATAATATTAACCAATAATTGATAACCTTTAGATTATGAATATATACAGATTGGAAATCTGCCACAATCACCATATACCATAACACTTGGTGTATTAACCTTAACACCAAGGAATGTCTTGCAGGCATATAAATGTACTTTTTCTATTTGTTCAAGTTTACTGAGTCCCTTTATCTCTGCTCCATATAGTAATATCGGACTAATCTTTAAATCAAATATCTTGAAGAACGACTTGTAAGTAATATTCCCAAGAGTAAAGATATATTTTAACACACCAATTAATACCTTTATTGTATTGCTTGCTTTGCATGCATAGATCAACTAAGATGATTTGTAAAGTATACACCTAAATACTTGTAGAAAGAGGTAGTTTCTAGGCGTTCCCCTTTGTAAAACCATTTTTCCTTTTGAGCAAGTTTCCCACCATTTTTAAAAACAACGATCTTCGTTTTATCTTTGTTTACAGTTAATTTCCATTCATCACAGTACTTTTCTAATTCGTTAATTTGTGTCTGTAAGCCGCCAATACTACTTGAGAATAATATAATATCGTCCGCAAATAATAAAAATAATTGTGTCATATCAGGATGTAGTTGAATTCCATTTGTACACTTATCTTGAATTTTTGTTGCCAATTCATTTATAAAAAAATGAGAACAAAAAAAGACTTAGTATGCAGCCTTGTCTCACTCCAAGTTCACTTTCAAACATTTCCGTCAGTTCTCGGTTATTTCTGACACATACTTTTACATTTTCATAAATGAAGAGCTTAGAGCCATAAGGGCCAATGTCATGTGGAGTCTGTTTAAAACACATAATACCATGCATGTTGATGAACTTTTTTCTTATCGACAAATTCTGGACATTAGCGCATTCTGACGGCAGAGATATAAATGTTGTTATAAAAACATTCAAAAAAGGAAATAAACTTACGTTCTTAAATAAATTTTGTGTAAGGGTGGAAAGGGCCAATGTCTGTATTTTCGCCCTTTTTGATCCTTAGGCATTTGCATAGGATTTAACATGTGAGATTGATAAACTACAACTGAAAGTACAAACACATGCTATTGAAGTACTTTTAAGTGATTAAAACTAATGCCAACTTTGTTGAAATAGTTGAAGTACAATAATAAGGTGTCCAAACTTTCAAAATCTCTCTCAGACAACAAGTCTCAACAACACACGGAAATGAGAGCTAAAAGGGCTAAAATCTAGCAAAGTAAATTTGGCCCTTTTGGAACTTGACTTTGGCCCTTTATAGAATTTTAAGTAGCTATATTTCAAAAACGCATCAATGAAAACATTCAATATTTTTTCTACAGGTAGACAAGAACTCATAGATGTTATTTATGCAATAAAATGAAAAAGGGTAAAGTGCATTTTAGCCCTTTTTAGCTCTAAGCTCTTCAAATATTACATAGAAGTTTGCTAATTTTACAACTAAGACCATGGAAATACAGAAGTGACCATAACTTATGTCGTTGTACAGTTATATTTTATCATATCTTTTTACTTTTACTGAATAAATAATGAAATCACAAATGCTGTAATTTTGTTTCTCTCTGCAGCCTTCTTTGCATACATGAGATAGTTTCATATGTCTATCACATTCTGATAGTAAAACTGAAGGTGCTGACATTCTTACTGACATAGGGTCTTTTTCAACATTTACGATGTGGAGTTATCTCTCTTGGAACAATTTGTTACAAACTAAAGTGTCTTCACGTTATACATATGCAAACGGGCTTACATCCTACTTCTAGTTAACTAAGCGACCTTATTACTACAACCTCATCTGCAGCTGCTGCTGCCGTTACTACCTACTGATACTACGGCTTCTACTACTTCATCTACTAGCACTACTACTACGACGACGACTACTACTATTACTAATGTTACATCTACTACCACATTCGCATCTACTACTACTACTACTACAACTACATCTACTACCACTACTACTACTACGACGACTACTACTATTACTAATGTTATATCCACTACCACATTCGCTACTACTGCTACTACTTCTTCTACTACTACTTCTACTACTACTACTACATCTGCTACTACTACTACAACCAAACCTCAGCACATGAATTTCAACATAAGCAAGGGAACAATAAGTTATTCACTTTCACGGTATTGAAGACAAAACGTAGAAGCAGTTGTGAGTACGAACATAAACATTACATAACATGGATTAAATGGAAACATTTGAAAGATAGCATTCCCACCTTTTGTAAAGTAATGTGTCTTATAACTGAACCACCGAACACGGGTGAAATATTTTTATTGTGGCTACACAAAGCACGCAAACATATGATATCTCATTCACTCCTTGATATTCTGCGTCACTGTCATCGTTTGTCCTGAGAGAAACATACATTAACCCTCCTGAAGCGGCAACTTTCATTGCTGAAATTTGTCTTCTTGGGAAGCGTACGTTTACTGCACAGCATGCTTGCAAACAAACCAAGGATCAAAATCAGGGAGAATGTGGGTTTCGAAACCACTAATAGCGGATCCTCTGAAAGAAAAGGGGCGCAACTGCAGCTTCTTAGTATTCTGAGAGACTCGAGTTGGCCCTTTCCACTGAATCCGATGTACTTAACAGCACCAGTTGGTTTATTGAGCACAAGGATATGGAATGTATATTTCGTGTGCATGGATTAATGATTGCATCAGTATATCATTAGTATTTCTATATTACATTTCTTACTTCTGTGTATACTTAGTAGTTAATATAATGTGATATATTTTTGATTGTCATGGATCAACTGAGCAACGTGGTATGCAATCAATTGTGAAACAAGCAGCAATAAAATATAACCGCCAGTAGCTATAGGAGTAGGTGAGTGGCTATAACGCCGAGTAACTCCTCTTTGCAACAATAGTTAAGCTCCATCAGGGCGTGTAACCTCAATTTGAAATGACGCAGGTCTACCGCTTTGGTCGTATCACAACTAATCCACGAGTATGTATTATAGTACTAACAAATCATACGAATCTTGAATTCGAACCAACGATAAGCGGATCCTGCACGGCTAAGGGATAAAATAATTCTGCCTAGCATATTGAGGCACCTTAGACAATGTTGTCATCGGTGCTACATGAGCCTCACGAGAAACATGCTTAGAATTAGTGGACACATGCTCACGCCCAGGTATAATACACACAATAAACATGATCATGATGAGAAGGATGATGAGTGCTGCTCCTACACCAAACGCAATTCCAAAAATCAATGTATTATTATCTGATGGTTTATATGTGAGACTTGGGCCCCTCCTGGGCGATGTGGGGGTGGTGACTGCCCTTTGTGTTGTAGTGGTTGTGGTCGTTGTTCGTTGTGGAATTGTGATTGCTTGAAATGTTACAGATCTCAGGTTTGATATCAGTGACGTTCTGTTTGAGTCATCCACAGCTCTCAGACCAATGACGTGGAAATTACTTGTCTGGTCGCTAGGCAACGCGACCTGAACCATTTGCTGCGAGCCTGACTGAAGTGCAGTAAGGCTGCCGCTCAAAATGTTGCTGTTCGATATTTCGTAGGAGGCCGTGAAATTCTGACGAAGTGCATCAAAAGAACTTGATACTCTGATGTCATATTTTGAAACTGAAATACAAATCAAAAACACTTTAAATGCATCTTTTGATAACCATCTGCACAGTATTAAATGTGTATATGTGTACTTACTTATTCCATACCTTCCGAATCTCAACTTTTTTAAATTACGGGTAAACTTAACTAAATAAAGTATATGATATATAAGAGTGTTTTAGCGAGATATGAGCTTCGTGTAGTTGTTTGTAGAGTGAGTGTTCGAGCTTTTAGCGTTTCAGCTATAATACCCTGTACCCATATTGGGACTCTAACGACTATAATAACGAGTTAAATGCTAGTTTTCCCATCCATCCCGCATGACCGCCACAAATAGAACATGCACGTGACCTTCAAATACATATATCATCTCAGGCATAAACTGTCAAACAAGTATTAGCAAATTTAAATATCCCAAATTACTATCTCATTATCAACATTAAAAAAATGTCATTATCTTATGTAGCGTAAGATTTTAACAGGTTAGTCTTCAGCGACCCTCATACCGAACTCCACTGATATAATTTTTTTGTTTCGTGGACGCCTTCTAATCAATAACCAGTGTTTCTAGATACCCGTGTACACAGTGACCAGTTTGGCCTAACATCCATTAACCCGGAAGTATTGATGGAAATAGTTCACTCCTGCACCACATTGGTCTGTCTCCTGGATACTCTCGTTTTACTGAAATCAGTCATGCCACCTGTAGATGGTCATGAAACTGTTAAGAGTCAGGGGAGAGACCCAGGAGAAACCTAGCGTTCGCTGATGCCCCTAGCGCCACACCCCAGGTAGTGATGTCAGTGGTAAGGTATCTAAAAGGTCAGTATTAAGAAGTTATCTATACCATTATGGGGATAATCTTCTCGACAACATCCCAATTCAGCGCTTATCTGGGACAACATAAGATTATCCCATCATCCCCACCCCTCCCAACCCCACCCCACCCCACCCCACCCCACCCCATCCCATCCCATCCAATCCCATCCAACCCCATCCCATCCCATCCCATCCCACCCCACCCCACCCCATCCCATCCCATCCCACCCCATCCCATCCCACCCCATCCCATTCCATCCCATTCCATCCCATCCCATCCCATCCCATCCCATCCAATCCCATCCCACCCCATCCCATCCCACCCCACCCCATCCCATCCCTTCCCATCCCACCCCATCCCATCCCATCCCTTCCAACTCAACCCTTCACCTACCTGGGCTAACATTAAAAAAATCTCTACATCCTCAAGCCACGCTCCACTTACCAGTGCCAACATTAAGATCATCCCCAGTGGCTGTCCAGGTGATAGCGATGGTTCTTCTGTTTCTGTTCACTACGCTGATGTCAAGGTCAGTGACCCGACCCGGATCCAGTTGATCAACTAAGGGGTCATAACCTTGGATATCTATTGCGCCAGGTGACGTTGTTCTGCTGAAGCCGTCCACCGGCTCGTACACCACTGGGGCTGTGCTATCTGGGAAACAGACATCGGTATATTCAGGTGATCATCAGTTGAACACTAGCAGTTTTAATATCAGGGTGAGGTGGGGTAAAAAAGTGGTCTCACGTCGCGTTTAAGATTATTTCACATTTATAGCGACGTGCATGCACGTGTGTGGCTACGAATCCGGACTTTTGCCGGTTTTGTGCTCCTAGTCCACTGAGAAGTGAGTGAGTATGTTTTTACGCCGCCGTTAGCAATATTCCAGCAATATCACGGCGGGGGACACCAGAAATAGGCTTCACATAATGTACCCATGTGGGGATTCGAACCCGGGTATTCGTCGTGACGAGCGAACGCTTTAACCACTAAGCTATCCCACCGCCCCTGCCCACTGTGGAAAGATGCCGCAGTTAAACATGGATGGTGTCTCATTCTGAAAGTGCGGATTCGAATCCCGGATGTTACTCAACCCCCCAAAAGAACTACAATTTGTACTTTACTGAGGCAGTGTTAGCCCAAATATAACATTTCTTATTAATGTGTTGTAAATTTGTTATAAATAATGAAAGTTCTTACTCTGGTAAACTGAGAGGGCTCTTCCAGAAAGTGCATTTCCAGCTTTGATGATGACTGTCTGTCCCTCCACCGACTCCACCCTAACCTCCATAGAGTAACGGGAGTTGGACTTGAAGCCGAGTAGGTAGTTGCTGTACACACCGTCGTTGGCTGTGTTGTCGGGGTCTACGAGAAAGAGAAATTGTCACATGAAATAACTTAACTTCAAAGAAATTTAATGTCATCGTAATTAGGACAACATAACACCTGCGTGTATATAGCCAAGCTGCAGAGGAAGTTGTTGTTCAAATCTAACCTGCTACCAACATGTTTTCTTATATGTTATCCATATTAATGTTAAACGAATATAAAACGTCAACACCAGAGAAACCATCCCGATTATTCGTGAGTGAGTGAGTTGGATTTAACGCCGCTTTTAACAGTATTCCAGTTGTATCACGGGCGTGTCAGCTTAATGTGGGAGGAAAGCCCGAAGTGATGCGGGTCTCAGAAGTTTTCCACTTCGGTGAAAACCACGAGCACGGGTATGGTGCTGACAAACCTAGAAACATAATCGGGGCGAACCGGGATTGACAAGGTTTCACTGCACTTACGCTTTTCGGATTAACGAGGTTTTACTGCACTTACTCTGTCCGGATTAACGAGGTTTAACTGCACTTACTCTGTCCGGATTAACGAGGTTTTACTGCACTTACTCTGTCCGGATTAACGGTGACTTACTGCTCTTACTCTGTCCAGATTAACGCGTTTTCAAAACTCTTTCTCTGTCCTGATTAACGGCGGTTCACTGCACTTACTCTGTCCGGATTAACGAGGTTCACTGCTCTTACTCTGTCCGGATTAACGAGGTTCACTGCACTTACTCTGTCCGGATTAACGGCGGTTCACTGCACTTACTCTGTCCGGATTAACGAGGTTCACTGCTCTTACTCTGTCCGGATTAACGGCGGTTCACTGCACTTACTCTGTCCGGATTAACGAGGTTCACTGCACTTACTCTGTCCGGATTAACGGCGGTTCACTGCACTTACTCTGTCCGGATTAACGAGGTTCACTGCACTTACTCTGTCCGAATTAACGGCGGTTCACTGCACTTACTCTGTCCGGATTAACGAGGTTCACTGCTCTTACTCTGTCCGGATTAACGGCGGTTCACTGCACTTACTCTGTCCGGATTAACGGCGGTTCACTGCACTTACTCTGTCCGGATTAACGAGGTTCACTGCACTTACTCTGTCCGGATTAACGAGGTTCACTGCACTTACTCTGTCCGGATTAACGGCGGTTCACTGCACTTACTCTGTCCGGATTAACGAGGTTCACTTCTCTTACTCTGTCCGGATTAACGAGGTTCACTGCACTTACTCTGTCCGGATTAACGGCGGTTCACTGCACTTACTCTGTCCGGATTAACGAGGTTCACTGCTCTTACTCTGTCCCGATTAACGGCGGTTCACTGCACTTACTCTGTCCGGATTAACGAGGTTCACTGCACTTACTCTGTCCGGATTAACGGCGGTTCACTGCACTTACTCTGTCCGGATTAACGAGGTTCACTGCTCTTACTCTGTCCGGATTAACGGCGGTTCACTGCACTTACTCTGTCCGGATTAACGAGGTTCACTGCTCTTACTCTGTCCGGATTAACGAGGTTCACTGCTCTTACTCTGTCCGGATTAACGAGGTTCACTGCTCTTACTCTGTCCGGATTAACGAGGTTCACTGCTCTTACTCTGTCCGGATTAACGAGGTTCACTGCTCTTACTCTGTCCGGATTAACGAGGTTCACTGCTCTTACTCTGTCCGGATTAACGAGGTTCACTGCTCTTACTCTGTCCGGATTAACGCGGGTTCATCGCACTTACTTCGTCCGTTGTCCTCCAGGGTCACATTGAAGGGAGCTTCTCCTGCTCGGGATACCGTGACGTCCACCTTGGCTCTGATGATGGGAGAGTACCCTTGGTGGGTGTAGGTGTACAAAACAACCCCACTGCCTGCTGAATAGTTGTACTCCTTTGAGCTTATCCACGTCTCCACCTCATAGGGAAGGGCTCCGACACGTGGGTGAGACTTGACCACGCCCACAACGGACTCATCGGAGTTTGACCCACGTTTCAGGCTGTACGTCCATCTCCCAGCCTGAGAGTGAAAAATGCACACATATTGACAGCTGACAGTCAATAACGTACATTTAAACCAGTTTTTCTCCCAGATTCACACTTTATCATAGGGGTAGCTACAGAATTATCAATCTATTTCTGAATTATCACAAAAAGTCACTCATGCTTACATTAGACCAAACACATGCATGCTACTGTCCATAAGTACTTACCAATATCTTGCGGAATTTCGCAAAATGCTTGTACAGTAAACTACGTTTATAACGAATACGCTTATAACGAAATGACGGAGATGTTTTTGGTGCCGGCCATTTGCTGTATAAATGCTCCATATATGCTTATAACGAACTACAGTTATGACGCACTAAAATTAGTGGTCCCTTTGAGTTCGTCTTAACCGTAGTGTACTGTACATACCTGGGCCAGAGGAATGAGGAACCGGATGATGTTGAGAGCTTTGTCCTTGCTGTATGTTGGTGAAACCTGGTTTTGGACATTCCCCAAGGGATCTTTAATGCTGACCTGCAACAAAGCGCCATGGAATGCAATATGGTCTATTTGATTGTGATGGTATGTGATGTGCCATTGATGACCAAACAAGTTGTAAAATGCAAACTAAGGAATATATACGTACGGCCATGTTTGTTTCAGTTACATTAAACTGGGTTGGGCATGATAATATTATGATATGAATCACATTGCAAATTCTCCACATATCATCATGTTAGCTGGAAGTGGGTACCTAGTGGGTCGGGGGCCAAAGTTTTCTGTGGGTGAGGGACGTATCGTACCACAAGCTGTGTTTCGTTTTGCTGTGGTATTTAGAACAAAGGCGAAGAATAACACAAACAGGGACTGTCACAGGCCCATAAGAACAGTGGGGACCAATTTGCTGAACCCCTTCACCCATTGGCCAAAATCTACACATATACAATAATTTTATGTGCATATGTTTATATTTAATAATATGATTCTTAGTTTTATCTTTTGACTTGACTCCCGTGAAAATTCTGAATCAGTGCCAATGATAACACCGAAATAAACGGCATTGTATTCCTGGAGTGGATCAACGATACCTTCTTTACCTGGAACACTGTCTTGTAATGGATAATGGACCCTATCACAGTGAACACTACCCACACGGAGAGATCCCCACACCAAAGTGTAACTTGCTTGACCTGCTTTGATTGCTTCCCAACAATAGGTATATGACACCAAGCAGGTATATGAGCTACAGGTGCATGAAGTATCAATGTCACAGACACATAAGCTTGTAATCTTACCATGTGATGTGAATCCTTTAGAAAAGAGCTGATAGAATGTAAAATGTGATGTTACTGAAGTGACAAACAAGCAGAGTCCGCTGTACGATTCCGACTTAAATGCTGAACAAAATGTTTGAGCACCGTTCATCCTTCAAACTGTCTGATCAGGTAATGGTCGAGACGTAGCTAAGAGTGAGTAAGTGAGTGAGTTGGGTTTAACGCCGCTTTTAACATTATTCCAGTTATACCACGGCGTGTCAGCTTAATGTTGGAGGAAAGCCCGAAGTGATGCAGGTCTCAGATGTTTACCACTTCGGTGAAACCCACGAGCACGGGTATGCTGCTGACAAACCTAGAAACATAATCGGGGCGAACCGAGATTCGAACCCACAACCATAGGTTTCTGGCGTGCCCAAGAGGCACAACTCTGCACAGCAAATCGCAGCGCCTCAGACGACAGTGCCACCCGTGTCCCCACGTAGCTAAGATGTGTGACGAAGGTTGTGAATTGGATATAGCCAGATGTTGAGGCGTCAATAGGATCAATGTCAGTCGATTCTGACAGCAGCAAATCAGAACGTGATGGCGGTTTCAATAGGGTTTTGTTAAAGGTTTTGAGAAGATCCTCGCAAATGCGACCCCTTCTCTACTGCTCTGCCCGGACCCATTTACAGTGTTTGTTTGTTGAAGAAAGTAAATCTGACTAGAGACAAGATATTCATTAACACCTGCAGTGGTAGTTTTTACAAGATACGTATTTCTTTAAGACATATCTCAATTCTTCTGTGGCATATGTTACTGGTAAGCAAACAAAATGTGTATGTCAACGTTTCATGTGGTGGATTATCCCCAACGCAGACCGCCTCCGTGGTCTAGAGGTGGAGCGTCCGCCCGGAGAGCGGAAGGTACGGGGTCCGATCCCCGGCCACGTCGTACCAAAAGACGTTAAAAGATTGTACTTGTTGTTACCCTGTCTGGCGCTCGGCATTAGGGGCTAAAACAAGGACTGGTCGGCTCGGAGTCAGTATACTGTGTCTGAGTGGGGTATTCATGTTAAAACGGCGGCATGGTATCTCAGTGAGCTTGCACTATTAATCGGCATCAGTCCGGACTAGTACCAGCAGACCCCCCCCCCCCCCCCCCCCCCCCCCCCCCCTAACACACACACACACACACGTGCATGCATGTCGCTATATAAGTGCAATAATCTTGGACGCGACTTTAAACCCAATTTCACCTCACCTCACCAATCCCCAACGCTATCCAGATGGAACAAATAACTGATACAACATTACCTCTGTTTGAGCAAGTATCGAAAGAGTAAAGACGAACAGTGTGTTGTTCCCGATGGTGGAGTCAATCAAGATCGTCCGTTCGTACGTTGACAACGCCGAGTTCAAAAGTATGGCATGGCGGTCAATCTGATTAATAAAAACAAATGAGAAATCGTTTGGCAAAAATGTAGGTATGAGTTAAGACATATTTATTTATAATATAACTTCTGAATTAGATCTAGAGGTAAAGCGTCCGCCCGGAGACCGGAAGGTCCGGGGTTCGCCATACCAAAAGACGTAAAAAGATGGTACTTGTTGTTACCCTGTCTAGCGCTCGGCATTAAGGGGCCAAAACAAGGACTGGTCGGCTCGGGGTCAGTATACTGTATCTGAGTGGAGTATTCATTTTAAACTGCGGCATGGTATCTCAGTGGGCTAGCACTATAAATCGGCATCAGTCCGGACAAGTACAAGCAGCCACACATGCACGCACGCATGCACGCACGCAAACATATGTTCAGTACATATACCTCAACAGCTGAATCCGCTTCTTGCTCGCAGACACTGACATCTTCGAGAAGCCTCTCCGCTGCTCCCTCAAGGGCTGTCGAACTGGAACTCTCGTCAAAGAAGGAATACTGGCCTCCTACAACACAACGTTATTGTAGCCGTGATATGTTGGAATATTACTTAAAGGGACGTAATATCATACTCACTAACACTAACACTTCATTAGAATACATGATTATATAAATGCAACAATACTTGAGTGAGTGAATTGGGTTTAACGCCGCTTTTAACAGTATTCCAGTTAATCACGGCATGTCAGCTTAATGTGGGAGGAAAGCCCGAAGTGATGCAGGTCTCGGACGTTTACCACTTCGGTGAAACCAACGAGCACGGGTATGGTGCTGACAAACCTAGAAACATAATCGGGGCGAACCGGGATTCGAATTCACAATCATAGGTTTCTGGCGTGCCGAAGGGACGCAACTCTGCACAGGGAATCGCGGCGCCTTAGACGACTGGGCCATCCGTGCCCCCAGCAATACTTGACCATTGGCAACGTGGATAATATACACCTAATACTCAGGTACATTTTTACCTCTACCATGAACATGTCAAGTCAATGTCTGTTTGCTACTACTTGCCAGTGAGTTCAGAGAGAGGTCGTAGTATTGGTGCAGCATCGTCACTGTAGGCGACAGTATGCACCACAACCTGCTTTCTTGTGATGTTAGTCCATATGGAGCGTACACTAGGATTGACGTTTTCACCCCCATCAGTGATGAGAAATATCCGTCCGTTCTCTGCTGATTTAGCGTTTGACTCCAGTAACTGAAATATAACAATCAGAAATGTGTCAACCGTAAACATTTGACCAATTCAGGACGGAATAAGCGGGATGATAATTCAAATTTGATGTCCATCGAGTAGGCCTGGGACGAGTCCAAATTTACTACCTGGGTACCCACCCACCTATTACCCGACCCTACCCGAGTATCCACTGTTGGTCTCAAGAGATACCAAATGTCCGATTGCGATAAATTTTTTTACAACATCACTTGCAAAACGTATTAAGATACATGTATTAAACACTCTGGTCATTCATACACCGAAGTTGACTTAAGCTATATCCTGACTTTCATACGTTTCGGTACCTCTATAGCTTTGAGAAGGCCTAATCCGATGGCTGTGCTGCCCCCGAAGTTTTGCAGTTGGGGCAGCTCCTGAGTTAGCGCCTCTCTGTCCGAGGGAGAAGTGATAAATCTCATTGGGGCCATCACTGATGCTCTGGAGGAGAAGACTACAATTCCAGCTTCAGTTCCCTCTGGGAGGACGTCTCGGATGACCTTGTCTGCCATCTGACGCAGCCTGAAGTATCTGTTATTCTGAAGTGAGTGAGTGAGTGGGTGAGATTTTACGCCGCTTTTAGCAATATTCCAGCAATATCACGGCGGGGGACACCAGAAATGGGCTTCACACATTGTACCCATGTCGGGAATCGAACCCGGGTCTTCGGCGTGACGAGCGAACGCTTTAACCACTAGGCTACCCGACAGCCCGTTATTCCGAAGAGGAGTTTGTGAACTTAGCAATACTTTTAAAAATATTTTTCAATTTCTATTTAGCACTTGTTTAAAACATGAAAATAAGAAACAACGTTTACATGGAGTTACTGTTAGATGTAACGTTACTTACGCCAGTCATTGAACCAGAGACATCTAAGACGAATACAAATCTCCGCCCGCAAACTGTGGTGTTGCCAACTGCTTCCTTCTGACGATAGACAACACTGAACTGCGGGTTTCTGTTGCTAACATCAACGGGGTTACGTCCCTTTATGTCTGGATGTTCCCGGATGATATCCCAAGTTCCTCTTTCATTGCACATTTTGTTATGCCTGTTCGGGGCATTTGGATTATGCTTCAAATCCAATCGACCACTTTCAGGGTTGCTTTCACAGAAATTAACCACCTAGAATCAGGACAAACATGCTGATTTATATAAGACGATGAATTAATGCATGTGTGGTCACTGGGGGCCAAGTGGTCTAATTTGTCGTTTCAATAACGGAGCCTGTGTCATGCAAACCAGTAACTGAATGCAAGGAAATGATCCACGCCATCGGAGCACGATGATACGTTAACGTTATCAGCCAAGAAGAAGAAGCCGTGATATAACTGAGTATGAAGTAAGTGGTGTTAAACCCACAAAAACCTCACTGAACCACATACAAATTTGTTATTTAACGCCACGATCAATAACAGTCAAATTACATGACGACTTTAAACCAGAGAGCATACAACAGTGTAACGCTTTACCTTGATAAAATATTTCTAAATTAACATATAATTTTCGTGACACAACTACTGGTTGTAACCCTTCTAGGCGTTCCCAGCCGAGCAACGATTAATTAAGGATTATCGGTCCTGAGTGAAATAATGTTCTTAGTTCCGAGTCTTTCAACATTTATAAACTCTTCCACTCTTAACAAGAACACGCGAGGCACTATCAATGCTGAGAAGTCAACAGTGTCCCTACCTCCTTTAGAAACTGTGCGTACATCACGGATGACGTTGCCCTGTTCATGTAGGAACTTGGAAGGAATGCACAATCGTCATTCAACAGCTTGGTGGTGCTGACTGGTGCACAGCCGGCGTCCTTGACGACATCGACGAAGTCCCCTGTGATGTCAGTGGAGCAGGCGGTGGGACGGAGGGTTGTTGATGTGTCGTCGATGTACCCCACTGGGTGGACGTCGCTGCCAGGAATGCCGTATTCGTCAAAGACTCCAAACCGTAGGTGGGCAAACTCATGGACCAATGTACGACCTTGAAATAGGGAATTGGAATTATTTGGACACATGGCGGACCCACGTCCACATTAACCTTCTCAAACACACCTCCAACCCCCAAACCCTGATTAGGCATTGTTATGTTAATATCTTAAATCTTTTCAAAAGTTAACTTACTTTTTTCAGTGTTGTTTTTGATTATCCAACAGTTATCGATTATTTTATGAATGTACAGGTCAATATGTGGCCTTTATTGATACATGGCATACACGTAATTGTCAGTGCATTTGAAACAATGCGATTTGTGCAACAGTAATTGTAATATTCCATGTATCAATGGTTGTGAAGAAAATCACATTTTTCTATGGGAGGGAAGGGAGTTAACTGACTATAAACGTCCAGTTTACACCCTTGCCGAACTAGGCTGGAATTATGGAGCCATATTTTGGCTGGACTAACGAGTTTATGCACAGTACAATCAAAATCAACATCCGGTTCGAAAACTGCCGTGCAGATTTCTGCCGATTGCAGGATTTGCAAGGCATGTGTACCGTCAACTTAGCGTCAACAGATATTTTTTTTTTCAAATCTATTCATGCTCACTTGATTTGATGCACTTTGCGAAGTAAGTCCCGTGATTATCGACCCAATCGTCTTCGCTGGGCGCCGCCATTTTGTTGTGGAATCTGACTGGTCAATGGTAGGGACATAGAAGGGACATAGCTCGTAATAGTCACTGGTGACGCTATGACCGAGCCCAGAAATTCCAGCCAAGTTCGGCAAGGATGGAAATCGGACTTGACAGTCAGTTAACAGCCTTGCTTCGAGAAGATGTGAGAATGCAAAATTATGAATACTGTATTTTTCTTATCTCCAGAATGTTTCATGCATGTCAAATTTTGACGTCGTTTAACAAACCCATAAAAAAATTCTCTGAAAAAATATAGAATATGCATTGAGCAATACATTGTAGTTTCCAAGAATCTAAATAACGTGAATCGTGTACTGAAAACAATAACACTGTGGTTTGCTGCTATTAGCACATTTTCCATGTTCAGTGTGTTGGTAGATAACTGTTGAAGCATTACAAAGGACGGTGTTGGTTCTATATGGCACCACTGTACCTACCAGCATCCCCATAATTAAAGACACGATTGATTCCATTGTCCAGCACGTACTCGGACGTCAGGAGGATATAGCGGCCTGGCTCCCCACACTGCCCGGGTTGAAACGTGTAGGGAGTATTGCCCTGAAAGATACATGGTGATGCATATGTACTACCATTACGCCCGTCATTTTCCAAAACTGGTGTCGATACTGATGTTATTTTTACTACACATTTCCATAGTTCTCGATATATTTATGAATTACAGTAAACTACGGTTAAACCGAACACAATGGGAACACTAATTTTAGTTCGTTTTAACCGTAGTTCGTTATAAGCATATTATATAGAGCATATATTCAGCAAATTACGGGCACTAAAAACAATTCGTTATATCCGTCAGTTCGTTATAAACGTGTTCGTTATAAACGTAGTTCACTGTATTCGTATTGTTTGTGTGTCTGTTATAACAAACAAGTTATTAATACATGCTTCAAGATCTACAATTTTGTTTACGATAAATGTTGCTTATATATGATAGTGACGATAAGAACGGAGTCTCCACTTGCTAGGGCAAATAAATGTCTTTATTTACATAACAAGATGTGTATTTTCTGTGTTAAGATTTCAAGTTATTCTGTTCAGACAATCTGCTTGTGATATCCGCAGTTTCTTTGTTCCATTTTAACACACAACTGTGCAAATGGCCGTAAGCACTATGAAATGAAACGACGCAATTAAGCTACTCTAGCTACTCTACTCAGGGTTGAATCTTTTCGTATACTGTAAGTCTGTCGTTTAGACTCATTACAGTACAGTATTTCGCCTCATCCTCGTCTCAGGTCACTGCAGTTTGAATCGTTACCTATCATACAATGGAGATGCTCCCTCGTCGACATGAGCGTGACATTGTGTACAGGTTTGCTTCAGTGAACCCCACGCTGTTGTCGGGGTAACGCTATCTCTAAACCGTCCCAGGCAAAGCGCCGAGTAACTTGATATACCATTACAATGGAATGTGATAAACAGTTTTAAAATTGTATGCAACTTCAGAATAATCCGATGACAGATGAATTTTCGACACCAGTGCTCAGAATTGGCTTCCATTACCTTCTTCAAATTCATCTTTGTCTTGCCACGTATTTAGATTTAGATTTATTTTTTATTTTTTATTTGTTTTATTTTTCTTATTTTTTTTTGGTTATGGGTGGGGTGGGGGTGGGGTGTCTGAACACCGTATAACTTAACACGTATATGCCTGTAAATGCATAAGGCATGTCTTGGCATAGCAAGATGATATACAATCCTCAATGTGCAGGGGACACGGGTGACCCAGTCATCCTAGGTACCGCAATTCCCGCCATACTGTAGAGTTCCGCCCATTAGTCACTTCGTGTCGTCCTCTCACACCAAGCCGACGCGCTGTGATAACTGAATTTCCTGTCATTAAACCAAACTCACTCACACTTCGATCCACATAAATGTCTTCAAATATAGATGAAAGAATACCAGTTGCATAAAATCAATCAAAGCTTTAGGCATCTAAACCAAAGGGATTTAGGGATCATTACCTATGCAGGATTGTCATGCTATATTTTTATTAAGGCTATCTGGTCAATCTGGCACTGATTTTTGTCGATGCCAGGCGAGAATTATTTCCTTGTAGCATTTCAGATTTGCACATGCAATTGTCTAAGTTTATTTGAATTATTATACTGTAATTTATCCGTAATTTCCGTTGTAAAACTAGGTTTTTGCAAGGCTGTGTATTACCAGCACAATACGAGTTAGGTCGGGGCACCAGACCGTGAAGTGAAACAGCTTGATAGCAACCTATATGTCACATTCACAGTATTTATGTCTGCACCACGTAACATACATAGAAGTGTTGTTGGTTGTCATGGACACGAACACGAACACTACATTAAAACCTAATCACATCAGCACCTTAGAGGGCCAAGAGGTGATGAGTCTCTCAATGTAAACTTACTGAGATGAGAAACTGTGACAAAAGCGGGATCAATTTAATGGAGAACATTGTAGAGTGGCGAAAAATCCAGAACATACATTATACTTCTTAAACATTTTTTTTAATGTACTGGAAAGACTCCTCCTGTTTCTTCCAACTATATATGATTTTGAGGGGAAGATACGTGCGGAAGTCTTACCAATCTATTTTCTGTGAATATGTTATAATCACGCTTATGACAATATTTTATGTTCGGGGGTCCTAGCGACAAGGTTACATTTTCAGGACTCTCACGAAGGTCCATTCTCAATTATTGAGGATCACGAGTTTAATTCGAATTAATTCGTGGCAGGAGTCAGCTTTGCGGCGACAATCAACAAACAAACTGTACGAGTGGCGGGTGTTAGCGGTAGGGTAGAACATACTTACAGTTTTCGTAAACACCTGGTGTCATCACTGACATTCAGTGATCCATTCATATAATTTTCAAAGACATTTCACCTTGTTACGCCCAAAGGAAATCTGTTTCGGCGGATACTCGGTGGTCATTCTCTGGTGTTGTAGTTTTATATTTACTCTATTGCGAACAATATTTTTAGTAAAATCGTGTATCCAGGGAGACGAAACACAGTGTGTGGGCTTCGTGAGCATTGGATGAGACTGTGAGCGAGAATAGCAACTCAACAACATTGGAGCAACGCTTGCAAATGATCTTCAATACAACTCGGTTAACCTGTATCCAACATCAGACAGTCTTGCTTTCTCTGTCAGTGCGAGGTGGGTCACTTGGACAAAGGACCTAACGTTATTTCAATCTATGAATGAACGACAGTCGGGTACAACTTGTCACATATTCCAATAGGTTGACCTACCCATGCTGGATGTGACGAGTCAACTCTGATATCTGCATCAGTAAAGGTTATCTCCCCTTCGTCTTTCCAGGACGATTGTCTCCCCCACGTGTCTGGTACTAAGATGGTCACACGTCGTATGTAGGTGTACTTCCGGGTTGTAGTGTACAGGTAGTCCGAGGCAGAGGTTAACATGGTCTACAATAACATCATGAATTATGTTTTGACAGGAAAGGGTCGTGAAGGATACGATTAGGAATCAGGAAAGATCGTGGTAATACTGCACACAACGTAACAGCTAACATAAAATATTCATCAAACGCACATGCTAAAATAAGAAAATAATAGCAAACTAGCGACGTGAATACGAAAATTTGAGCTGCGTATGGAAGTAATGGACTTAAAGCTTAACAGTTCATTTGGGAAACGTGGGCTTCAGGATTCCAATGCAAATGACTCTGAGATGGATTGTGTAAATAGGTAGTAATGCATTATGGAGAGAAAGATCACACCTTACCTGTAGCTCAGAGATGATGTTGAGGTTCTCTGGAGTGTCTCTGTGTATTGCCACTACGAGTTCATATCCATTGTTCTTGAATTCCACACATTCTATTCCTCCAATATGCACAACAATAAGTATCGCACGGAATATGCAATATACTTTCATAGTTATTTCGTAAAAGAAAGAAATTGCAAAATAAAATTATTGCCGAATTGTTCAACTCAGAGGACAATATTTCCAAATTTACATGCACACAATTGTAAGGCCTTCAACATAAGCCATGCCATCAACGTAATCCAGGCCTTGGTGAGCAGAATGGGACTGAATTCACTGCATAAATGAAAAGCGCACCTGCAGACAGAGGCTGCCAGAATCTCAGTATAGATGTAATGGTGTAAGGTTTCGCGAACACAATCTGCACTGATGTATCGTCATTCGGCGTGCATCAGGGACAATGACAACCAAGTACTAAAATGAGATTGAGAAGCTTTAATCGTGTTATTCACTCTGCATACGAGGTTATCATGTCATGCGAATCAAAACGGTGGGCCCCTTGTGAACAGTGTATGCGCGATCAGGGACAAAGAGCCTTGTGAACAGTGTATGCGCCATCAGGGAGAACTAAACGTCGTGTACATTCTCGGTTCTCGGTGCGTCATTTTCTATACAACCAGGAAGTCATACCTCGGAGCCGCTTACCGTTACGAAATTTGACATCCCCACAGTGGAGTCATGGTGGTGTGTCCAAATTCGTGAATGTGTCATAACGTATAACTACCCACGGTGTATTCAACATCAGCTTTGTCGTGTTACAAACATATACCTTCACCCTGGTGGAAAAACCTGATGTGTGTTAACATCGTATTCAGACTGTGAAAATGAAACTCTGCGTTTGAATATTATCACTCAATAAGGGTTTACATTACACCGGAACAATCTTGATGATAGCTGTGCATTAACTTTTAAAGTCACGCAAACAATTTTTATATAAGTTGAGTTGGAGCTGACGAAAAACGGACAACAACGAACCAAATTCATAATCTCAAACAGTGGATCGTAACGTTTAATATTTTCGTAAAAGTTACTATATGTGGCAATGAAAAATATTATCAAGGAATTTTCGTCTGAAAAATATAAACCCCGACTTATTTTTGGTGAATAGAGTATCACCTACGCTCAAACAGGAATCTCCACTGATCTTGGGTTCCTCATATATATGGCCTTCCCAACGTGGACTTGCGCGAACAGACTTGCTCTAAGATAAATGAGGGCATTCTGTGTATGGTGACATCACCCTGACATTTTCATTGTCTTGACAGCAGAAACATATAACTGTTATAGAGTAAAGAAATATTTATTCACCAAGGCGACAGGATTAAACTGACATACTTGGGTGAGTTGAGGTGAAATGGGGTTTACCAAGATTATTGCCCTCATATAGCGACGTGCATGCACGTGTGTGTGTGTGGCTGCTTGTACTAGTCCGGATAATGCCGATTTATAGTGTTACCCCACTGGGATAGCATGCCGCAGTTTAACATGAATACTCCACAGAGGCAGGGTATACTGACTCCGAGCCGACCAGTTTCAGCCTCTTAACGCAGACTGACAGGCAGGGTAACAACAAGTACCATCTTTTAACGTCTTTTGGACATGACGCTGCTGTTCTCCGGGCGGACTATCTACCAGGTGACCACTGAGGGGGTCTAGTGGTAGTAGTAGTAGTAGTAGTAGAAGTAGTAGTAGTGGTGGTAGTAGTAGTAGTGGTAATAGTAGTAGTAGTAGTAGTAGTAGTAGTAGTAGTAGTAGTAATTATTATAATAGTATATATAAAAACGTATATTGATAATTATGTGTGAAATATAAATATATGAGTGTGTAGATGATTGGTAACGCCATATACATAAACATTTCAGCGGGTTAGCTACCTGTATAAAGTCTGGACCAGACAAGCCAGTGACTGAAAGCATTAGCATCTCTCCATGATATCGGGGCATGATGAAACACACATATAGCCTGACGGCCCGACCATGTTTAGTCAGATTGTACGACAGGCATAAGGTACATTGGACCTACTCTTCTCCGGGTCTGTGGTCTCTGATTATGGAGTGTGTTATGGCCTCTGATTGTGGTGGATCTATGGACTGACTGCGGTCGGTCTGTAGTATCTGATTGTGGAGGGCCTATGGCGTCTTATGGTTGGTCTGTTGCGATTTGTGGGTGGTATGTGGTTTTTGATTGTGGAGGGTGTGTGGTCACGGTATGCATTGAGTCTGAAGAGTCAGAGTGTGGAGGGTCTGTGGTTTCCGACTGTGGATGGTTTGTGGTCTCTGTTTGTGGATGGTCTGTGGTTTCTGATTGTGGAGGGTCTGTGGTTTCTGATTGTAGAGGGTCTGTGGTTTCCGATTGTGGAGGGTCTGTGTTTTCTGATTGTGGAGGGTGTGTGGTCTCTGGTTGTGGAGGGTCTGTGGTCTCTGATTGTGGAGGGTCTGTGGTTTCTGATTGTAGAGGGTCTGTGGTTTCTGATTGTGGAGGGTCTGTGTTTTCTGATTGTGGAGGGTGTGTGGTCTCTGGTTGTGGAGGGTCTGTGGTCTCTGATTGTGGAGGGTCTGTGGTTTCTGATTGTAGAGGGTCTGTGGTTTCTGATTGTGGAGGGTCTGTGGTTTCTAGTTGTGAAGGATCTGTGGTTTTTTAATTGTGGAGGGCCTGCGGTTTCTGATTGTGGAGGGTCTGTGGTCTCTGATTGTGGAGGGTCTGTGGTTTCTGATTGTGGATGGCCTGTGGTTTCTGATTGTGGAGGGTCTGTGATCTCTGATTGTGGAGGTTCGGTGATCTCTGGTTGTGGAGGATCGAGAAGATGTGACTGAATTGTTAAACCCTGACAATACACCAGGCTCAATACAACAGATTGATTCTCTTACAATTGAGGAGCAGTATGGCAGGCGAAATAACGCTATCACCTGTGGTATGTCAGGGGAGAAAATTGTACACAGCTTGGGAAGACGACTCAGCACTAATATCAGATGCTATTGTAGCAGTACATCGCCTGGGCTCTACGGGATCACTGACGACCTCATTAAGAAACAAAGAGAAACGTTACAGAAATAGCAAAGTGAAAATATATTTTAAAAATTAAGGAAGGAAGAATATCCAAAAGTTCACCAAGTTACACATGTACTGACAAAGCGATCTTTATACAGTTTGCCAAATCTATATTTAGTACAAATAAGGATACATTTATGGCTTGTGTTTAGGACTTTGTTTTCGCGAGCACCTGGTATCATAACTATTTGATAGTGATTCTTTAACACATGCTTCTGATGTAGGAATCGTACAATGGACTTTGCCTTCAGTACAGATTTTGCACTGGATTTCCGGTCCAAAGCTCCATCAAAATCCGTACAAAGAGAGATTTTCTGCTGGATACAGCAAATGTACCTCAAAAATCCATGTCTCAAGTATTTACCACAATTCTTAATACAATCAAGGAAGGACTTTCTTTATATTTACAGAAAGTATTTTCAGACAAGTGAAATTTTATGTTAACCATGTGGATCGTAGCGACAAAATTATGTCCGATGCACTTCCCGGTCTTTACTTATACCACGTGTTCCTATGCTGTTTCATGTGAAGAATGATTATTGATTAGCCTTTGCATGTGTTTTTGACGGGTTCCGCCAGTGTTGCAGGATACGCCAACCTTTTCGCTAACACCTGGTATCACCACTACTTGATAAGTACATGATCAAAATATAGTCAGACTCGTACATTAGACTCTTTCAGCAAGACTTCTAAAAAAGGGAAAGGTATTTGTCGCTTTTTGTTATTATTATGATTATGAAACTGTTTTTTGCAGCTTTTATATTATTCATATGGTCATGATAGCCGTTATGCTTGACGGCATTCGACATATAACAAACAGATATTGGCGTTCATTAACACAGCTTTGTATTTACTTCTATGTAAATATCTTGAATGGAAGATGTGGATCAGACGCCCCTACAAGATGCCCTAGAAAATGCTGTAATATGATGCTTCTCTAGGACAACCACGCGAATCTAAAATGAGCATCAAAAGTTAAAAACATGTTATACGAATGCATAATTTATGGTATATTTGCATGTAGACATGTCACAGCATTTTTTCAGCTGTTTAGCACAAACCTTAAAAGATAGGTTCATCCAAAAATGGCATGGCTCTTTGTCCAGTTCCAGAAAAGCAAATTCTACACCAGATGTAAGACTGCTATAAGAACCTTATCTATGAAGTGTAAATTTACGTAATATCATTCAGTTTTTTATGTGTATTTCCAGTGTACAATGATTAAGAGTAAAATATCTAAATAACTATTTCTACCACAACCCAAATGTTAACACATTTTGCAAATTAATGACATGTGATTGTACAGAAATGATGGGAAAGTTATCAATGTTCATTTGTCATGCTATGTAACTAAGAAAATGTATAAATTTGTAACACGCCCAGACAATGTACCATAGGCCTTTGGCCTCATCAGTATCATGAATAAAGATTGATTGACACAAGTTATGCTTCACGACATTCGACATGATTACAAACAGATATGGGCGTTCATTAACACAGCTTTTTATTTACCTATGTGTAAATATCTTGAATGGAAGATGTGGCTCAGGTGCAAGGGGTTGGTGGGGTGATTTGTTTCAGCAGTGGGTACAAGTATCATTGATTACATAATTACTGCAATCTATTTGTTTACATTGTGTCATGAGTTCAATATCGTTACTATAACCTTTAATAGGTCGTCAGCAACCCGTGCTTGTCGTAAGAGGCGATTAACGGGATCGGGTAGACAGGCTCGCTGACTTGGTTGATGCATGTTACCGTATCCAAATTGCGGAGATCGATGCTCATGATGTGAATCACTGGATTGTCTGGTCCAGACTCGATTATTTACAGACCGCCGTCATATAGCTGGAATATTGCTGAGTGCGACGACAACGAAACAAACAAACAAACAAACAAACATATACCTGTACGAAGCCCATTTCAGTTACACTGGAACCACGTGTATTCTTATCAAGTCAGCGAGCGACTATTGTAGATTTTACTTAGCTTCTATCACTATTCAAGCCAATGATTGGGTGAGTTTGGTTTAACACCGCTTTCAACAGTATTCCTGTCATTTTCGGCGTTTCAGCTTGATGTGGGAGGAAATCCCGAAGTGATGCTTACAAACCTGGAAACATAATCGGAGCGAACCGGGATTCGAACACGCGATCATTGGTTTCTGGCGAGCTCAAGGGACGCAACTCTTCACGGCGAATCGCGGCGCTGTTGGTTACACACAACCAAATGTTTTCCAATAGACTTCTATAGTAACGTTATATTTGTTTTAAAAATAGCTTAGTATTCAACAGCTGTTACCTGTATTTGTGTGCACAGTTTGACCTCAGAGCAGCATTAGAAACAAATAAATGACTAGCTTAGCCAGCTCCTTTTCCGAGGACAGAAAGCTAAACACACCACACCCAGTTCCGCACCAAATGTCACTTGCTTGAAAAAATCTGTGGTCACATTCAGCATAAGTAATAATGTTGAAAAAGACAGCACTATATATGGAAAAACGAGGTCATTTTTAATTACTGTATGGATGTACATTTTGAAAACATAATCATCCATCCAGTTACCCGATGATTCAATATACGCTGAATTATTGTAGGCAGACCTGTGATTTATGTATTGTATATATACATTACTTTTTTGTATATGTAGCTTCTCAGAAGAAAATGGAAATTGGATTAAACTTTACTCCTTGTTCCTATCCAGCATGTCTATATGGCACCAGAATACATAGTTTTGATGCACCGAAATAGTTGTGAGATTTTGATGATGTATACTTCATCAATGTTTTACAAAATGTATTTATGTATCAATAAAAAAGTTTCTACCTTCATACACTGACCATGGGAGGAGTCAATTCATATTTCATTAAGGGGGAGGGGGGTCATGGGTCAATTCTATACATGGGATGAGCCTGCCTAGATCACATCACCCTAAAATATATTTTCAACTAAAAAACTGAACAAATCTTTAAACGTCAAAACCAGGATCAAAACATATATATTTAACAGTCATTAATGGTCTGTTGTTTGCCTTCCTTTGCTGCCATCATGAGATCATAGCAAAACTTGGACACTCATGACATGATGTGGTTGATATTGTTTGAGATTGCTCAATCTTACACCCCTGCATTGTCTATATAATCAAACAAATGACTGTCAGCATTTGGTAAATCATCTGTGGACTGATTTGTGAAACATATCACAGATGTTTGTTAAACGACTGATTCTGATTGGGTGTAGTAGAACCTACAGACAACTGGGCCGCCTGTGCCCCCTGGGAACAAGGAAGGGCTTCATGCACTCAGGGGCGAACGTTTTAACCACCAGGTCTCCAAACATCTCCAATCTCAACTGTCCCCCGCCTTCCCTGGTGCCAAGTTATCATACAAGCCTACAGAAACAGTACTAATATGTAACACATGGATCGGAAAGATATTGTTTATTTTAATATGCATTTGGATTTTTATTTTAAATTTAAAATGTTTCGTTTATTTTGGTAAAAATATTACAACCCAATTATTTCTCATTGTGTCCCCGTACCAGGCGAATGTTTACACTGCGTTAATGTGTCCTTGTGCGTGTGGTGTGACTGGACAGGCGCGAAGTCATTTCAAGGGGCATAACTCTGCAAGCACTGTAACACACGTCCCGATGAGCTGGAGACAGTGGAGACAGGGACAACAGGAAGAATATCATGTGGTGTCATGCAGCTGATAGCTGAATTGTAAACTGATTAATTCCACTGCACGGAGACATTAGCTTCATCAAACTACATACGGACATGTGTTTTAATTAAACATACGTATGTATAAGGAACCACATACTAACGATTTATGAATTTCTTATATTTTTTGTCATAACCGTCTACCGCAAAGGACGGGTTCACACAACATAACATCTAGAGGGAAGGGCGGGTTCACACAACATAACGTCTGTAGGGGAGGACGGGTTCACACAACATAACGTTTGTAGGGGAGGACGTGTTCACACAACATAACGTCTGTAGGGGAGGACGGGTTCACACAACATAACGTCTGTAGGGGAGACAGGTTCACACAACATACCATCTACAGGGGAGGACGGGTTCACACAACATAACGTATTAAGGGGAGACAGGTTCACACAACATAACGTCTATAGGGGAGACAGGTTCACACAACATAACATCTACAGGAGAGCACGTGTTCACACAACATACCATCTACAGGGGAGGACGAGTTCACACAACATAACGTATATAGGGGAGACAGGTTCACACAACATACCACCTACAGGGGAGGACGAGTTCACACAACATAACGTATTAAGGGGAGACAGGTTCACACAACATAACGTCTATAGGGGAGACAGGTTCACACAACATAACGTATTAAGGGGAGACAGGTTCACACAACATAACGTCTTTGGGGGAGACAGGTTCACACAACATAACGTATTCAGGGGAGACAGGTTCACACAACATAACGTCTATAGGGGAGGACGAGTTCACACAACATAACGTATATAGGGGAGACAGGTTCACACAACATACCATCTACAGGGGAGGACGAGTTCACACAACATAACGTATTAAGGGGAGACAGATTCACACAACATAACGTATTAAGGGGAGACAGGTTCACACGACATAACATCTACAGGGGAGGACGAGTTCACACAACATAACGTATTAAGGGGAGACAGATTCACACAACATAACGTATATAGGGGAGACAGGTTCACACAACATACCATCTACAGGGGAGGACGAGTTCACACAACATAACGTATATAGGGGAGACAGGTTCACACAACATACCATCTACAGGGGAGGACGAGTTCACACAACATAACGTATTAAGGGGAGACAGATTCACACAACATAACGTATTAAGGGGAGACAGGTTCACACAACATAACGTATTAAGGGGAGACAGGTTCACACAACATAACATCTACAGGGGAGCACGTGTTCACACAACATACCATCTACAGGGGAGGACGAGTTCACACAACATAACGTATATAGGGGAGACAGGTTCACACAATATACCATCTACAGGGGAGGACGAGTTCACACAACATAACGTATATAGGGGAGCACAGATTCACACAACATAACGTCTATGGGGGAGACAGGTTCACACAACATAACGTATGTAGGGGAGGACGAGTTCACACAACATAACGTATATAGGGGAGCACAGATTCACACAACATAACGTCTATAAGGGAGACAGGTTCACACAACATAACGTATGTAGGGGAGGACGGGTTCACACAACATAACGTCTACAGGAGAGGATGGGTTCACACAATATAACATCTACAGGGGAGGACAGGTTCACACAACATAACGTCTGTATGGGAGGACGGGTTCACACAACATAACACATAACGTCTATAGGGAAGGACGGCTTCACACAACATAACACATAACGTCTATAGGGAAGGACGGCTTCACACAACATAACACATAACGTCTATAGGGAAGGACGGCTTCACACAACATAACACATAACGTCTATAGGGAAGGACGGCTTCACACAACATAACACATAACGTCTATAGGGAAAGACGGCTTCACACAACATAACACATAACGTCTATAGGGAAGGACGGCTTCACACAACATAACACATAACGTCTATAGGGAAGGACGGCTTCACACAACATAACACATAACGTATATAGGGAAGGACGGCTTCACACAACATGACACATAACGTCTATAGGGAAGGACGGCTTCACACAACATAACACATAACGTCTATAGGGAAGGACGGCTTCACACAACATATCACCTGCAAGGAGAGGACAGGAACACAGGGGTAGAGGTGTGGGACAACATAATCTGTACACAAGTTCGGGGTCACAAAAGATAAATGACAACAGTTTCGGTCCTGTATTCAACAGTTTTACCCAGAGTTTGGTGTTAAGTCACCTTCCGCAACCTCTATTTCAGCCTCTATATGCACCGCCAATTGCAATAGATCGAGGAAAGTGATAAGCATCGGCCTCATGGTAACAGTGACTGACTGAAGTGTGATTGTCATGCCTGTCCCAGCCTGCTATCTCAATTAGGTATCTACTGCTTAGGCAGGAACTGATATCAACTGCTGTGTTGTGTGGCGGTGTTGCGTGTGTGTCCGTACCAGGAAGTACATTGTCCGCCATTCAAGTGTATCAGGGATAAATCCTCGGACTGGGTCTCACAGGATTCCTCGGGCTGGGCGAACTCACGCAGTAAGTTAAACAATGTATGAGTTACACCATGCATTAAATACGTTCAGAGCGTTTTGTTTGACACCGTAGCCCTCATGACCAAATAAGACTAGCGACACACCACGACTAACACGTCTAACTAGGTTATCATACACACTTGTTTGTGACTGAATAAATCGCCATGACACTTGTCATGAGTAAATATGTTTTTGATATGAACGATTATTGTAAAATATCGGTCCTGTCTCAAACTGTGCGGTAAATGTGTGAGGTGGGGTGTGCTAAAAATGTATATCGTAATAAGTATCTGAAGGAAAATAAATGTGTGTTAAATGCTTAGAGGACAACCCTTTTATTCATGAATCAATACCCGGCACTTGCCAAGGACGGAGGCTAAAGTTCGTTTCGTCATATACATACCATCTAGTTTAACTGTTTGATTGACATTCTAGAAGTTGGTGAGTAAATAACAAAACGAACAACTGTATGGATAACAACTTCTTATTTATTGCACATAGCGACGTTTCCATGTAGATTCTTACACTGTTATCCAGCTGCAGTGACGACAACCAAGTGAATAGATGTCAATGTGCATGATATATTGTGATAATCAGCAGATTAACATTGACAACAACAGGTAAAAGATAACAACAAGCACACAGATAATTGACTGAAGCCAGATGTACAATAAGAATAACAAATAACGCCTTTTGCAATATATTAGAAGTTGTTATTCATAAAGTTGTACGCTTTGTAACCTTCTGGTTTATTTCTAAAGGTCATGTGCACCGTTGCAATACACCTATATTCACCTATACAAAAATGAAGCCATGGGAGTGTTATACACTAGATGTTTACATAGCTATTGGAATATAAAGGCGTTCAGAGAATGACGTAATAAGGGGGTCAGCTCAATTCACACTCAATTCATATCTTACCTAGAAACCTACAACTGGCCAGGTCATGTTCTCAGCATACTGAAACACCTTAAACCTAAATGATCGGTCTACATGCCTGTTATAGGGCAAGACCTGAAACACCTTTAACCTATATGATCGGTATACATGATTGTAATATCACATGACCTGAAACACCTTAAACCTAAATGATCGGTCTACATGCCTGTTATAGGGCAAGACCTGAAACACCTTTAACCTACATGATCGGTCTACATGCATGTTATAGGGCAAGACCTGAAACACCTTTAACCTACATCATCGGTCTACATGCCTGTTATAGGGCAAGACCTGAAACACCTTTAACCTATATGATCGGTCTACATGCCTGTTATAGGGCAAGACCTGAAACACCTTTAACCTACATGATCGGTCTACATGCCTGTTATAGGGCAAGACCTGAAACACCTTTAACCTACATGATCGGTATACATGCTTGTAATATGACCTGACCTGAAACACCTTTAACCTATATGACCGGTCTACATGCCTGTTATAGGGCAAGACCTGAAACACCTTTAACCTATATGATCGGTATACATGCTTGTAATATGACCTGACCTGAAACACCTTTAACCTATATGACCGGTCTACATGCCTGTTATATGACATGATCAGAAACACCTTTAACCTATATGATCGGTATACATGCTTGTTATAAGACAGACCCGAAACACCTTTAACCTATATGGACGGTATACATGCTTCTTATATGATATGACCTGAAACACCTTTAACCTATATGGGGCGGTCGGGTAGCCTAGTGGTTAAAGCGTTCGCTTGTCACGCCGAAGACCCGGGTTCGAATCCCGACATGGGTACAATGTGTGAAGCCCATTTCTGGTGTCCCCCGCCGTGATATTGCTGGAATATGGCTAAAAGCGGCGTAAAACCAAACTCACTCACTCACTCACTATATGGCCGGTATACATCCTAGTTATATAACATGACCTGAAACACCTTTAACCTATATGGTCGGTATATATCCGGGTTATGTAACATGACCTGCAACACCTTTAACCTATATGATCGGTACACATGCTTGTTATATGACATGATCAGATACACCTTGAACCTATATGACCGGTCTACATGCCTGTTATATGACATGATCAGAAACACCTTGAACCTATATGACCGGTCTACATGCCTGTTATATGACATGATCAGAAACACCTTGAACCTATATGACCGGTCTACATGCCTGTTATATGACATGATCAGAAACACCTTGAACCTATATGACCGGTCTACATGCCTGTTATATGACATGATCAGAAACACCTTGAACCTATATGACCGGTCTACATGCCTGTTATATGACATGATCAGAAACACCTTGAACCTATATGACCGGTCTACATGCCTGTTATATGACATGATCAGAAACACCTTTAACCTATATGACCGGTCTACATGCCTGTTATATGACATGATCAGAAACACCTTGAACCTATATGACCGGTCTACATGCCTGTTATATGACATGATCAGAAACACCTTTAACCTATATGACCGGTATACATGCTTGTAATATGACATGATCAGAAACACCTTTAACCTATATGACCGGTATACATGCTTGTAATATGACATGATCAGAAAAACCTTTCACCTACATGATCGGTATACATGCTTGTAATATGACATGACCTGAAACACCTTTAACCTATATGGTCGGTATACATGCTTGTTTTTGATATGATCTGAAACACCTTTAACCCGTATGATCGGTATACATGCTTGTTATATGACATGACCTGAAACACCTTTAACCCATATGATCGGTATACATGCTTGTAATATGACATGATCAGAAACACCTTTAACCTATATGATCGGTATACATGCTTGTAATATGACATGATCAGAAAAACCTTTTACCTATATGATCGGTCTACATGCCTGTTATAGGGCAAGACCTGAAACACCTTTAACCTACATGATCGGTATACATGCTTGTAATATGACCTGACCTGAAACACCTTTAACCTATATGACCGGTCTACATGCCTGTTATAGGGCAAGACCTGAAACACCTTTAACCTACATGATCGGTATACATGCTTGTAATATGACCTGACCTGAAACACCTTTAACCTATATGACCGGTCTACATGCCTGTTATATGACATGATCAGAAACACCTTGAACCTATATGACCGGTCTACATGCCTGTTATATGACATGATCAGAAACACCTTGAACCTATATGACCGGTCTACATGCCTGTTATATGACATGATCAGAAACACCTTGAACCTATATGACCGGTCTACATGCCTGTTATATGACATGATCAGAAACACCTTGAACCTATATGACCGGTCTACATGCCTGTTATATGACATGATCAGAAACACCTTGAACCTATATGACCGGTCTACATGCCTGTTATATGACATGATCAGAAACACCTTGAACCTATATGACCGGTCTACATGCCTGTTATATGACATGATCAGAAACACCTTGAACCTATATGACCGGTCTACATGCCTGTTATATGACATGATCAGAAACACCTTGAACCTATATGACCGGTCTACATGCCTGTTATATGACATGATCAGAAACACCTTGAACCTATATGACCGGTCTACATGCCTGTTATATGACATGATCAGAAACACCTTTAACCTATATGACCGGTATACATGCTTGTAATATGACATGATCAGAAACACCTTTAACCTATATGACCGGTATACATGCTTGTAATATGACATGATCAGAAAAACCTTTCACCTACATGATCGGTATACATGCTTGTAATATGACATGACCTGAAACACCTTTAACCTATATGGTCGGTATACATGCTTGTTTTTGATATGATCTGAAACACCTTTAACCCGTATGATCGGTATACATGCTTGTTATATGACATGACCTGAAACACCTTTAACCCATATGATCGGTATACATGCTTGTAATATGACATGATCAGAAACACCTTTAACCTATATGATCGGTATACATGCTTGTAATATGACATGATCAGAAAAACCTTTTACCTATATGATCGGTCTACATGCCTGTTATAGGGCAAGACCTGAAACACCTTTAACCTACATGATCGGTATACATGCTTGTAATATGACCTGACCTGAAACACCTTTAACCTATATGACCGGTCTACATGCCTGTTATAGGGCAAGACCTGAAACACCTTTAACCTACATGATCGGTATACATGCTTGTAATATGACCTGACCTGAAACACCTTGAACCTATATGACCGGTCTACATGCCTGTTATATGACATGATCAGAAACACCTTGAACCTATATGACCGGTCTACATGCCTGTTATATGACATGATCAGAAACACCTTGAACCTATATGACCGGTCTACATGCCTGTTATATGACATGATCAGAAACACCTTGAACCTATACGACCGGTCTACATGCCTGTTATATGACATGATCAGAAACACCTTGAACCTATATGACCGGTCTACATGCCTGTTATATGACATGATCAGAAACACCTTGAACCTATATGACCGGTCTACATGCCTGTTATATGACATGATCAGAAACACCTTGAACCTATATGACCGGTCTACATGCCTGTTATATGACATGATCAGAAACACCTTGAACCTATATGACCGGTCTACATGCCTGTTATATGACATGATCAGAAACACCTTTAACCTATATGACCGGTATACATGCTTGTAATATGACATGATCAGAAACACCTTTAACCTATATGACCGGTATACATGCTTGTAATATGACATGATCAGAAAAACCTTTCACCTACATGATCGGTATACATGCTTGTAATATGACATGACCTGAAACACCTTTAACCTATATGGTCGGTATACATGCTTGTTTTTGATATGATCTGAAACACCTTTAACCCGTATGATCGGTATACATGCTTGTTATATGACATGACCTGAAACACCTTTAACCCATATGATCGGTATACATGCATGTAATATGACATGATCAGAAACACCTTTAACCTATATGATCGGTATACATGCTTGTAATATGACATGATCAGAAAAACCTTTTACCTATATGATCGGTCTACATGCCT